CCCTGGTACGTAAGAAACACTGACATATTACGAGACTTACAATACACAAACGCTAAACAGACAATAAGACATAACGCGGAGAAACGGTTTGACGTAGACGCTAGACATGATAATCCCCTCCTCAGGCAAGCCGTTGACTACGTACCCGACGTGACCGACAAACACAAAAGGCCTAGACACCAACTTTTCGACCCTGGGTGACTACCCCAACGACCCCCCCCCCTGCCCGCTAACCTTTTCTGTTTCAGAGACAGCCAGGATCAAGAAACGAAGACAACGACACACACACACACACACCCCCCATATCCTCCTTAACCCTCCCCTCCCGCGCTGGGCTAAGGGCCACCTTAGCAAAGCGCATCCCAGGCTGCATAGCCGCACTACCCTACCCAACCATACCACACATAAACATGACACTACCCCCGGGGTTTACACAGACGAGCCGGCGAAGCAAGAAGAGCGCCAGAAGAAAGGGCCCTAGCCGGCGGGGCCCAGCCAGGACAAAAGGAGGTCCCACAAAGCGCCTACACCGGCCGCATTTGCGGTCGGGGTAGACGACGGATGGGGCCCACCTACGAAGGCTGTCCAGGCCTACACGAGATGAGGCAGGATAAAGAGGGATAATCCCCCTCGATCCCGAATCATTGAGGCCAATTTCTAGCCATGGAATAATGGCGTAGCCATGGAATAATGGCGTCGGCGACTCTTTGTCTACAATCCATTCTTTATAAGAAGTCAATGATTACCATAGAATATCATTTGTCATAATTTATAATGTTCTGAATTGTCATGGTCTGTGGTATAAAAAAACAGAAGAAGAAACATATTTTTTATTTAGTTTGAATGTTCTAAATTGTTAAAAGTATATTACATAAATCAAAAATTAATAATGCTGATTTAACTTATACATTTGTAGATGACTTTAAATGAAAATCTGTTATCAACAGAAGAAGTAGAAAGAGCTTTAACAGAAATTGAAAATAAATATTCTCCAATTAAATCTAATGGAGCAAACTATCATGAAGACAATTTAACAGTTTTAGTTAAGGTAATATGATGATTAATTTATTCTTTTTTTGTAAGAGGGAAGTTTTAGGAATTTGACTCCATTGGTCTTCCTTCTGTAGATTTATCACAATCATTAACTAAGATTTTTAATGAAGTTGTAAGTAATGCTAGATCACTTGTGCAAATTCATCGGAAAACCCTTGCTCAAATGAAAAATGTAAATATTAACAGTAAATATAAGGAATCAAAGAGTACTGAATTATATGTGAGTATATTTTGAAAAAAATAAAAATGTGAACATTTTAGTTTAAAACTTATACAGGGTGATTTAACAATGGGAAAATCGAAAGCTGAAGATACTACACGTGAAATGATGACTATTGGTGTAAACATGCCTTATCCGAAAGTTGATAGTTTCGGAAATACAGGGTGGTGAATGTTAAAATTTTAAATAGTTTTTTTGCGATTATTCTGAAAATATGTAGGTTAGGAACTTGAAAATATGTGAGACTATATTTTTTAGGCGACGAATAAGTTGCATGTTGTAATTTCAGCACTGCTCATAGAGGGCGTCACTTACGACCAATTTTACCGAAAATTTAGGTAATAACTTTTTACCCTGTGTATCTAACATGAAACTTGATTCAAAACCTGAAAGAGCAATCATTTTCCATTAATTGTGTATTCTTGTTTCATTTCAGTATCTCGATCCGTTTTCGAGAAAAATCGATTTAACGAACACTATGTTTTGATAATACGAGAAATGAAAAGCGAAACAAACCAAGAGTTTCTTCGTGTTATTACAATAATTAACAATAAAACAAATGAAATTCGTAATAATGATTTAAAGTCAGTGTTCGAAGAATCCACCGTTGACATTTACACACTTTACACAACGTTTTCTGAGAGATCTTCGAGTTTGAAACAACATATTGGGATTGCGTTTGATTTCGTTGGCAGCGATTTGTATTCTTTGTCACAACTCTTCACACGAACTAATAGATTCTTCCAAATAGAAAAATGAAGAGGATTGAAGTCCGGACTTCTGGGTGGCCAAGTAAAAATGCTTCCATGGCTTGAAGGCTATATTTAAGCAAAGACGTGGTTCATGTACGACGGCGCTCCACCGCATTTTTCTTGGCCAGTGCGTGCATATTTAGATGCAGTTTTCCCAAATCGCTGGATTGGCCATGTAAGCATTTTTGCTTGGCCATTCAGAAGTCCGGGCTTCAATTCTCTTGATTTTTCTATTTGGTCTCGAATGAAAGATATAGTTTACGAATAATCTATTGGCTCGTGCGAAGAGTTGTGGCAAAGAATACAAATCACTGCCAACGAAGTCAGACGCAATCCCAATATGTTCTTTCAAACTCGAAGATCTCTCAGAAAACGTTGTGTAAAGTGTATCAGTGTCAACGGTGAATTCTTCGAACACTGACTTTAAATCATTATTACAAATTTCATTTGTTTTATTGTTAATTGTTGTAACAACACGAAGAAACACTTGGTTTGTTTCGCTTTTAATTTCTCATATTATCAAAACATAGTGTTCGTTAAATTGAATTTTCTTGAAAACGGATCGAGATAACGAAATAAAACAAGAGTACAAAATTAATGGAAAAATGACAGCTCTTTCAAGTTTTGAATCAAGTTTCATATTAAATATACAGGGTAAAAAGTTATTAACTAAATTTTCGGTAAAATTGGTCGTAAGTGGCGAAATTACAACACACATCTTATCCGTTGCCTAAAAAAATATAGTCTCACAAATTTTCAAGTTCCTAACCTACATATTTTCAGAATAATAGTAAAAAAACGATTTAAAATTTTAACTTTCAACACCCTGTATTTCCGAAACTATCAGCTTTCGGATAAGGCATGTTTGCGCCAATGGTCACCATTTCACGTGTAGTATCTTCAGCTTTCGACTTCCCCATTGTTAACGAATCACCCTAACTGTATAGGTAGGCAATTGCAAATTTTCAGCAAATGTAAGTCAACTGATTCTGTATGATTGATTTAATGGCAATCTGCACATAGTATTTTGTTTTTAGTGGAAAAAATATAGATATAAAAAAATAACGTAACTCTAGTACCTACCTAAAAATATCTTTTTTAATACTGAATTTGTACACATTTTTGTAATAAATCTTACCAGTTCTATTTTGCACAAGAAATATCAGAATTTAAGAAATTTTGTGTTTTAGAAAGCCATCGATGATTACAAGTTAAAACTGACTAAACATAAAGATGTAAATTCTAGTTTACAAAATAAAATCATTAAATTGACAAATGATCACACAGAGGTCATTAAAAGAGAGATTGCATTAAAAGAAGAATTGGAAAAAACCAAGAGATATTACAAATCTAAACAAAATGAGCTTCATCATCAAATAAAGAAATTAATTAAAGAGAATGGCCATTTAAAGGAAATGTTGGGAAAAGATATGAGTGAGTATTAATTTTGATATTATGTAAAGGTAGGTTTTACTTGTCAGAAAAAATGTAATCAAATTTATTGAAAATAGTTATATCTTCGTTTGAATTATAAACTATTTAGTTTATAATTCAAAATTTATTTAAAATTTCTGTTATGTTAGGTATTTATATAACATTCTGCTTCGTTACCTTGTTTGCCTTTATATAGGAAATTATCTCAATCTCACATTTCGTAAAACACTACTGAATGTTGCAAACCATACATGTGTTTTTGTGTATTGAACACCCTGTATATTTGTAATTTTTAAGACATTAATATTACAACCTACTCCACAAGTCAAAGTAACTGTTGGCATTTGCCCACAAATAGTGCATTGCAATCAACGACCTCAGATTTAGCCAATTACATATTTATTATGCTTTATTAAATATAATATGTTTATTACCCTATTATAACAGTTTAAACAACAAGTTACTTCCTTTTAAGCTATGCGTTCTTTGGTCTGACGACGTTGATCGTGCTGCCCCCTGGCTGTGAACAGTCTAACTTCCCCTAAAACTAGTCAATGTCAATAATTAGATGGACCGCCTTGTCCTATATACTAATGATGACAATTCAATATATACAGTATAGACTCTTTAATCCGAACTAATTAAAACACGGGCTTAAAGAGATATGTTATTACTGATATTTTCCGATTACTTGATAGTAAATATGTACATATGTAATTATGTTTATGTATATACATATACATTAAATTTTGTGTTACTGAGAAGTAAAAATAACAATAAAACCAAACATTATTCTAAAATATGTCGTATAAATATCGACATGTTTGCATGGCAATTATAATTCAACTAAAACATGACATAATTGTATACATATCACCATATATCACACTTCATTTATACTTATTAATAACGTTTTGAGAAATCTTTTTTTCGTTGTCAAAACTTGTAATCATCTTTTCTGGTTAGGTTTAATAATTTAAATTTGTTTGTTTTATTTGCTTGAATAGTTAGAGATGTCATATGATGTTTAATAAAGAAAATAATATTGTTAAAAGAAAATTAAAAAAAGACCCGAATTATTTTATTAAACGCTGAAAAATGTGTGTCAAGTTACGCTGTCAACTTAGATACTTGTTGGTTCCAAATAGGCATTAAGAGAAAAAGAAGTTCCCTTAACAAATTTTGATAATGAAAATATTGATTTTTCGAATCTTTACGTCCGAGATTTTTGGATAGACAAAAATATTAAGTTTAATTAAAATAACCATTGATCCCTTTGTTGCAAAGGTTTGTATTACTATTTTTCTTTCTCTATTTATTTATTTGCTAAACTTGAATACATATCATCATTTACCCCAATTCCATTTTAGATATACCCAACTCAAAAGATGAAGTTGTTTTAAAATTATTGAGGCAATACAAGGATAATGAAGAAATATACAAAGCTACAATTCACAAGCTTCAAGAAAATAACAGAGAACTGTTAAGTGAAATCGTAAACTTGAAGGAAGAAAATACAGTGACATTAGGAGATGACAATAAACAAAACTGTTTTTAAAACTTATCTTTTTAAAGCTAATTTTAGTACTACCATTTCTACTTACCGTTTTTAACTATTACGTTTTAGTTATTTATTCCCTTTGTGTCTGTTTATAAAATCCAATAAAGTTTACCTCATTTTATACAGTAAGTAAATTATATAGAATCCGTACAGGTAATCCAAAGGTGAAAATTCTCAAAAATATACTCCATATTCTACGGAAATAATGACAATAATTGCTATAATTTTAACCATTATACAGGACAGGCTGTAACTTTAAGTGGGAGTCAGTTTTTTTTAGGAGTAATAGTACGTGTTGCTCTAAATACGAATCAGAATTTTTTTTGTTAATCAAATAGTTGAGTTATAATTAGTTTTTTAAAATGCACTCTAATTCTTGTGTATGCCGCCACTGTAATACTGTAATATTCATGTATTACAAATACATGAATTGTAGGCAACCTACAGTGCATGTGAAGGAAGATTAAAGGTCTGTTCCAACAAGAGTCAGGGATTGGTTCCGAACCATCAGAAATGTGCATCCAACTAATTCTTGCGATATATTCACTGAAGACACATTTAGAACTTAGCTGGCCAAACATTTCGAACGGTTCGGAACCAATCCCTGACTTGTTGGAACAGACCTAGCATGATTAGTGTGGGTCAACGGTGAAGAAGTTGTTCCGCATTAGAAAACTACATTTATCTGCGAATTTGAATATTTTTCATCGTTATTAAATTCCAAACGAACTCTATTCCGAGGTCCACATAGTTAAAAGTGGCAGGTTACACATTTAAGAGATTACGCGAGCTTCGAAGAAAAAGGTTAAAAAAAATTTATGACGAATTTGAACAAATAAACTATTGCTATGTGTTTCTAATGGTCAAAGGAAGTCTCTGTATAAATATGACCCCCACTCATACACTCTGTATGTTTGCACGAGATGCCAATGTAATTCTTTTTTCGGCGACTGATTTACTTGTAATTTTTAGATATCCAGTGTCTTGCAAAAAAAAGCTTACCTACTTAACCAATCAGTATTCAGAACAACTGAGATTAGCTGAGATCTCTTGGCATGGCCATTATCATTACAGTGGCGAACAGTATCTCAGAGATATTCTAATTTACAATTGCTTCAACTTCAAAGTAAAATAATTCAAATTATTTAGTAAGTCATTACTAAAACAAACAAAAAATAAGCATATAAAATATAAGGCATGAGGTTTGCTCAAAAAGTAACGGGAATTGTCAAATTTCGCGTGTTGTATCTTGTCTCGCGAATTGATTCTTGTTTTGTGTATTAGACGAACCGTCCACCCCTAAAAAGATGCATAGAAAATCAAGGTCACTGACCATGAGGAGAGGCCAGGATGAAACCTTTTGTAATCGATGCATTGAGTTATTGCGAACAAAAAACCTAAGTAACATCTTTGTGTCCAAGTGGCAGGTAATTTATTATTAACAAAAAAGTAGCAAAATAAAAATATTGCAAAAAAACGCTCTGCAAAAAATTTTCAAAGGTAAATTGGGCAAAAATAAACACTGTTTCTTGACATTTTTTCGTAGAACGCTTCCTTTTTGAGCTAGGGGGATTTAAGGTCGAAAAATGGCTAAAAGTTGCCAACTTTCAAAATTCATATCTCAGCTCCTACCAAAGCTTTCAGAACGTTCAAAAGCGCAAAATGATCCTCGAGACTTATACTTTAATGTAGTATTTTTTTAAACCCGCCCCTTTTTTTTTAAACCGTTAAATTTGCAGCTGAATTTCGCCGCTAGTGTCCACGCGCCACCCCTACGTATCGCTATATATAGATATAGCACTGTCGTGCATATAATCGAATAAATGCTATTCATTCATTACTTGTTACAATTTTTACTATTTAGTATTTCTAACACTCATACATATTTTTAAATTCATCAAATATTGTATATCATATAATTATTTATAAGATTAATAATATGAATATCATATTTAAATGGAAAATAATATGTATTACGTTACAAATATTACGGCCATGGAAATGTTAGAAAAATTCATATGTTCCTGCAGTGGAAAGTTACCCTGCAGCGATGAAGACATTTGTTCTTGCTTATCACAAGGCTTCAAATGTTGCGATCTTTGCAATTGCTCTATAAAATGTCAAAATGCAGAAATACAAACTGATGATACTGATTCGGAGACTGAAAATTGATTTTTTATTAAATAGTTAAGTTTATATTTAAATGTAAATATATTTTTTTGTATTAATAAATACCTTTGATATATGCATTTTTTGTAATGTTTAATTAATTTATTTTTCATTTAAATATCATATTCATATTATTAAATCTTATAAATAATTATATGATATACAATATTTGATGAATTTGAAAATATGTATGAGTGTTAGAAATACTAAATAGTAAAAATTGTAACAAGTAATGAATGAATAGCGTTTATTCGATTATATGCACGACAGCGCTATATCTATATATAGCGATACGTAGGGGTGGCGCGTGGGCACTAGCGGCCGAAATTCAGCTGCAAATTTAACGGGTTAAAAAAAAGGGGCTGGTTTAAAAAAAATACTACATTAAAGTATAAGTCTCGAGGATCATTTTGCGCTTTTGAACGTTCCGAAAGCTTTGGTAGGAGCTGAGATATGAATTTTTAAAGTTGGCAACTTTTAGTCATTTTTCGACCTTAAATCGCCCCTAGCTTGAAAAGGAAGCATTCTACGAAAAAATGTCAAGAACCAAAGTGTTTATTTTTACCTTCGAAAATTCTTTGCAGAGCGTTTTTTTGCAATATTTTTATTTTGCTACTTTTTTGTTAATAATAAATTACCTGCCACTTGGACACAAAGATGTTACTTAGGTTTTTTGTTCGCAATAACTCGATGCATCGATTACAAAAGGTTTCATCCTGGCGTCTCCTCGTGGTCGGTGACCTTGATTTTCTAAGCATCTTTTTAGGGGTGGACCATTCGTCTATATTGGTAACAGTACACAATAACATACACAATAGTGTATGTTATTGACATACACTATTGGACAAAAGTAAAGCAGCAAACTGCCAATTTTGCATTTTTCATTTTTTTATCAATTTAAAATCAAGAGATGACAAGAAATAAACTTTTATCCGAATGGTTCGTAAATCTTAAATGTAATTGTAATGTAAATTGTCGCCCATAATAAACAGAAAAAATTATACGTCAATGACATTAGGTACTGGGTTATAAAGTAATAGGACAAAAGTAAAGCAACATTTAATAAACAATAATTAAATAATACCAAAAAGCTTTATTAATAGTTGATTGCATACCCATTATTTGCAAATAACTTTTGCACACCTGGGCATGGACAAGATCAACTTTTGGATAACGTTTTCTACTATACTTTGCCAAATTTCAATTATTTTATTCCGTAAAGCTTCTTTGTTTCTGAACGTTTGTGTCCTTATTCTCCTTTCTACTTCCCATAAATTCTCAATGGGATTTAAGTCGGATGATTGTAATGGCCAATACAAAACTTGTACATTATTGCCATGAAGCCAATCTTTCACAAGCTACGAGGTATGCTTAGGATCATTGTCCTGCTGAAATATGAATCTCGGAGGCATTTCCCACTCTGTATAACGTTCTGAAGGATATTTCACAAAACGATCCATAATTCCATCTCAACGTTTCCGTTTAAGGAAAAACATCCACCGCCATGCTTAACTGTTGGTATTGCATAAGCAGGATTGAATCTCTGATTTACGAGTCTTCTTACGCGAGGCATACCATCAGAATTGAAAATATTGTAACGTGTTTCATCGCTAAATAATACTTTTTTTGCAGTTATTTTCAGTCCAAGTCAAAAGGCTCTGGCAAACTCTACCCTGGCAGCTCTGTTCCTTGCAGAAATTAAAAGTTTTCTGGTTGGCCTTCTACTAAAAAAGCTTACCCTCGACTAACCTTCTACAAACTGTGCGCTCACAGATATTTAAATTTCCAATATCTGCCATAATTCTGGGACCTGACTTCCATGGATCCACGCGACAAATGGGTTTAATCAATCTGTCATCATTTACTGATGTTTTTTAAATGTCCTTTTTCTTGAAACTTGGACAATATCCTCGAAACTGTGTATCTGACCACTTCAAACCGACGTGCAATGTCTGCCTGATTCTCCCCTTTATTAAACGCATTTAATACTCTTTGCCTTAGGTCTGTACTGATAGCAGTACCTTTAGGCATTTTGAGGAAACTTGTTAATACATATCATAGGATTAACGATTACTCACTTAAACATTAAAGAAGAACAAATATCGTTAATAACTTTACACACTGTCTGCGATCAATGTAACATTCCTATTACGTACGGTAAAAAAATCGTACAGTTTTCCTAGCAACCGCCTAGCAACGTTCAATACAAACAGTATTGTATTGACTTGACCCTTACTAGGAAAACTGTGCGATTTTTTTACCGTACGTAATAGGAATCTTACATTGATCGCAGACGGTGTATTTTTAAGTATTTACAGTAGTGGTCATAGGTAAAAAATATTAAACACGATATTACAGATGTGTGAAACAAATAGTATATCTGACGCCTAACACTGAAATTGCTATCGACAAAATAAAGCTCGTATTGAACACCACACAAGATTTAAATACAACCCCTTTTCAGTCACATCACCATTCTTAACCAATGTTTTATAAAATTTCTATTAAAAGTCTAATTTTTTATTATGAAAATTTTTTCTGTTATAAAGACATTTTTGTTCTGGTTGTTTAAATGTCCTAAATTAACACAAAAGATATATACACAGTGCTAATAAAATTCTTTTATCACACTTTATTGCAACAATTTCATACATATATACATGTAAATATCGAAATATACAGAACATGTTTTTTTAAAATCTATCACAACCTACATTTAAATTTACATATATGTTTTAGAAGAAAATTGATATATTTTAAGTATAAAATATAAGTTAATTCTGCACCGGGAAAGATTTTTACTCGTTAAACAATAAATAACAGAAACCTAAAATACTGGGTCTACACAGGGTCCATATTTTTATCTAATTTTTTACATTTATTATTTACATTACACTTATTAACAACAAATAAGCATTATCTATTCTTAGAATATATCACTTCAGGCTTGACTTTTAAATTCAAATATTATTCACACATCAAATATGATCATTGTCATAAAGTATTTTTAAGAGATTACAAAATGAAAATATATTAAAGCTATAAAGTGATTCGCTTTATTTTTGGACAACATTTAACTAAACACTAATATACAAAAAAGAGAAACTAAAAATACTTTTGTGCAAAGAGAAAAACGATTTAAAAATATTTTTAACTTCAACGTTTTGAACTTGAGGTTAGCTCATATTCAGTATGGTGATAGTTAGTGCATTTTGAGAACTGTTGTTTGATAAAAAAACATGAATACATATTTTATTGAAATTTTCGTAGAAGCATATTTTCCATCGATAAATTTAAAACCTTGCCCCTTTAATTTCTTTGTAGCTAATCGAAGAAAAAAAAAATAATAAAAATATCAAATAAATTAATTACAAACAATAGCGAAATTTAAAAATATTCTGTATAACACACTCGTCTTAAGAACATTTGCTAAAATATTTTTAGTAGGGTGTATTGTGCCTAATTTTGTATCATAATACAGTATAAACTTGGTTATTGAAAATTATTTATGCTTTTCTAAAGAAAAAATATAAACTTTAATAGTAACATCTAGCTCACTAAGGACTAGAGAGATTCAGTGTATGTCCAAATACGGTACCTACCATAATGATTACCTATATAGCGTTGGTGGTGGATGGTGGCAGTAGCGAGTATTATTTACTTGTAACTTATTTTCAGCTAGATGTACTAAATTTAACTTTTCACTTAATAGCTTAAAATATTTAAATGAGATTAAATATTAAAAGTAGACTTTTAGAAATTATTAAAAGAGAGCACAGTGAAACGTATTGCAAAATCTAAATTAGCCCCTCAATTAATATAAATATTGGTGAAAAAAATACTTAAATCTAGTAATCTCATATTTCCATAAAAGATGGAAGCCAATCTGTGTGCAAATTGTATCATGTTTCTGGATTAAATGTTTTAAAACAATGTTGCATTATTAAAAATTATAAACCATATTTTACAAGTTACTGAAACAGGAGATAGAAAATATAGGAATACTGAATAAATTCGCGCTGTTTTCCAACAGATGGCGCTACCAGAACGCATATCCGAATATCCATGGTTCCAAGCTTCTGCTCTGCATTTGGTGGGATCAGCTGCTCAGACGGAATGAAACCAGCACAGGAGATTGTTATTGACTGCAATTAGTTCGTTTGAGTCATGCATTAAAGGAAAAAACAGCCACTATACGAGCAGAGACACGACAAAGTGAATTTAGAGCATGACAACACTTATCCACATGTTGTAGTACCAGTGAAAACCTACTTGAAAAAGCTTAAATGGGAAGTCCTGCCTCACCCGCCTTATTTACCAGACATTGTCCTGTCAGAATGATGGCACACAGCCTGAGCAGTACTTCCATTCTTATAAAGTTGCCAAAAAATGGATAGTCTAAAAATATGTGTCGTTTTTGCCAACATGGAATTAAAATGCCAGAAAAATGGGAAAAAGTAGTGGCTAGTGATGGACAATAGGTACTTTCAGTGACATGTTTTTTACTAATTCTTTTAAATAAAGCATTAATTTTCAGGGAAGAAACAGCGAGAACTTATTCAACATCCCAGTATTTTCCACAAAAACTTCTTTTGGAGACAAATCTGAAAATAATCTGTAAAAAAACTGCACTTCCAGCAGTTTAGTTCATATTCATTATGATTTATGAGTAATATATTTCTTTCCTTCATGGACAATTGCAAATATTCTCAAGCACACATTGGGAATATTAACAATAAATATATTAATCTCGTATAGGTATCTTTCTGAGAATAATTCTGAAAAACTGGCAATACTTTACTCATGCACCCTGGCAAGTTAAACAGCAAATTAGAAGCACAACAGGTGCTTTCAAATTTTTTCATTACTATAAAACAACTAAAATAACGAAAAACTTGACCAATTTTAAATCAACTATACTTTGTTTTATGTTAAAATTATGTTAATACAGAAAATTTTAATACATTTAAATCACAGCAAAATTTTTCAAACTTTTGTAATACTTCATAGGATCGGGTTATTCTATACTGAAAGTTATTTTTTACCTATTTAATTTTAAAAACATTTGCAATTGAAAGAATTAAAAAGACCAAATTAAAATGAAATCGATTAAGTTTGCAACACTTGAAATTGCAAATGCTTTTCAAAAGATGCTGCTGGTTTTTAATTTTTCTTGCATTAAAAAATAAGACCCTTGAAATTTATATTATATTATAGTCATAAATAAACGTAGTTATCAAAAAAAATTAGAACACAGAATGTGGCAACAAATCATGTACATATATTTTAATTGTATATTCGAGCGTAGCTTTAAATATTTATAACGATGTTTAACCTTGGATAATTATTTGAATTATAAAAATGAAACCTTAACATCACGTTAATAACTAAAACGAAAAATTTTTTTAACAAGAATCTACGATAACAGTTAATATATTGATTTTAAATAGACAATTCAATACTTTTTCATTTATGTATATAGGTAGAAAAATATAAACAATGATAATACCTAATAAAACTAATCTACTCAGTAGAAAGCTTTATCCAGGACTGTGGTTGCCGATTGTAGAAATAGAAAGCATAGGTTTAGGTAATTGGTAGCGACGAGTACTCATCGATCTTTCCACTTGAGGTACTTCAGTGGCTATAGGATATGATGTCGCTCTCTTTGCAGACCTACTGTTAAAAAAATGTGTAAATAATGTACTAATACGGTATATTTTAATAGATCTACTACTACTTCATATAACATAATCCAGGGTTGCTTTATCCTAATAATGATAGCAGCAGGTAAACAACATAAAGTTTACATAAATTTCAAATAGTCGAGGAATTTTTCAATTTTTATTTTCACTTTTTCATGTAGTACACAATAATTATGAATTTTATGATTATCATTAGCAGATAAATCAAAGCAAGACTCATGTTTGACCACAAATTACATTACAGTTACATTATTAGACATAATAAACACAATAATAATCTAATTGTTTTATGATTCTTAGTAAATCTACCATTGAAAAATTTTTCAAGATACCATTTGAAATTTATTACGTTGAAGATAAATCTACATGGGAATAATTTACAACAGATTAGCCCAGTTATTTTCATCACGTGAGTTTAATTGCCTATATCTTATAGCAAATTCGGATTAATCGGCCCGGTGCATGTTATACAGGGTGGCCAAATGAAAACGAAGCAGAGCCATTTTCGGGAACTGCTTCAAGATTGTAGAAAAACGGTCACACCCGTCGATTTTAGATTAAAGGGGGACATTCTTTGTTGGTATTTTTGACTCCACCACTTTCACCCCCAAGCAAGGGTAAGCATCACCCCAAAATATTTAAATGGCATTGGGGGTTGAGTAATATTTCTTTTGAAAGCTCTTACAATTCTCTTTACAACAGACTATAAATTTTATAATTCCGCCCAATACTTACTAAGAATTTTGATTTTAAAGTTGAAACTTATGTACAAACAATTAGTAATGGTAAAATTGTCAGTCATTCGAGTTAAGTACGCTAATGGTATAAATTTTGTATTTCTTGCGTTACATTGGTTTTTGCCGATTTGTTATCACTTTCGTAAAAAAAAACACAATTGTAAAAAACAGAAATGAATGCTACGCACACACAATGAACGAAAAATTAGTGGATTCCAAATTATTATCTAGTATTATTTGGAAGCGTTAGTTGGTAGTTTATTTAATTGTGTTTTTGAAAATTAAACAATATGGTTCATTCCATTACGGAAAGGGTAGATATCATTTTGCTTTACTTTATGAACAATAAATGTGCCATTAGAACAGCTCAGCTATTTAATGAACAACATCAAGATCGACATGTCAGGAGGATGTGTTCTAGGGTTAGTAAAAAAATTTCCAGAGACGGAACGTAGCCAATAAAAAACCGAGAAATTGAAAAAACCTATAGTTAATTAAGCTAGTGAAGTTGCAGTTTTGGGGCAAGTTCATCTTGATCCTACATTAAGTACGAGGCAGCTGGCATCTGTGTCTGAGATCAATCGAACTAGCATACAAATCATTTTGAAGAAGAATAAATTCCATCCATAAAAAATACATTTAGTCCAGCAACTTCATGAGGATGATTATGACCGCCGTTTGCAATTTTGCAAAACATCTGTTTTTCTGATGAATGCAGTTTTTTCTTGGACGGTAAATCGTCACAATTGCCACTATTGGTCCGGTTTAAACCCAAGAGTTTTTCACGAGGTGCATACACAGCAACCGGAAAAATTAAATATATGATCGACGGATCTGAGCGTTTTTCTACAATCTTGACGCAGTTCCTGAAAATGGCTCTGTTTCGTTTTCATTTGGCCACTCTGTATATAAACCACCTCAGTTCCACACATTCAACTAATGTTGAAATCGCTCAATGTTAAATTATCCTTGAGTTTGAATGATAAAAATTTGTAAGTGAGAAGATCAATTTCTAATTTTCAGCTCTATGGTTAAGAACAGTTTTAACAGTTCGATAAAAAATATAGCAAACCCGAACCTGTTTAAGAATAAGTCTGTAATTATGTAATTTTATCACCATTGTGGTGTTACCAGAGTAAATCTGATTGAAAATAAATACAAATTTTATGCAGAATGACTTATCCGAATAAGCTATACATATATAAACTACACTGAGAGATTTTTTTAATGCAATTGAAATTTTTGAGATGATATGATATTGTGAAATATACAATTTTGTTTTTTTTTTTCATCAAAATCTACAATGAATCTTATTTTAAATTTATATAAAATAGACTTTGGTGAAAATAATAGAGATTTCTGTAATAGCAAAGATAATTTTTTATGCAGGGTATTCACAGAAGTTTCAAACAATTTTGCTAAATTAAAGCATACGTTGAAACGATACAGGGTGTTTCATTAAAAATGGGACACAGCTAGCTTAATTGGAGATTCCTAAGATGAAAATCATTGAGCGAAACATGCCTTAATGAAACTTGCCCTTTTTCAGTTTACAAAAAAACTGAATTTTAGGTAAATTTTTAGCAAAATATGTTTTGCAGTACGAGAATTTTGAAAATAATATTCATTTTAATCCTATCGATAGAGGACATCTTACTAGTGGTACAAATATCTTAACTTTTCTGCTCTTCACATATCTGCAAGCTACGAAAATAATAAAAACTTTGTTTTTTGTTTAACTTTGAGTGAAGATAGTATACCAGTTCTCAAAAGAAAAAAAATGCATTCATTTACAAAATAATACGATTTTTTATAACACCGCATGTTAAATTAAAGTGTTAACTAGTTGAATAAGATCTGAAATATGACGTCAAGTTTAAAAATAAGATTATAAAAAAAGTCAATTATGTGAATGGTATAAAGCATTCAAACATGGTCGAAAAGTGGTTAATGATTTACCACATTCTGGTCATCCTTCAACATCTTCAACTGAAGAGAACATCGATAAAGTGAAGGAATTGGTACTTGCAAAGCGTCCTTATAGTTTTAAAGAGCTAGCATATGAACTAAACATATCTCACAAACCAGTTTAAACCGTTTTAGTTGAAGTTTTATTTATGAAATTCATCGCAGCACAGCTGGATCCAGCTTTAAAAAAGCATTGCAAATATGTTGCGGAAGACATGCTTCAATGAGCTAATTTCATTCTCTACATTCATGCAATCCATCATGATGGGTGATGAGACATGGGTTTACGAGTTTGACATGGAAACACAAGGCGATAATTGTGAATGATTTTTTGACCAAGAACTCAACAAATGTCAATGATTGAGTAGTCACTGAAAAATCACTGAAGAAGTTGAAGTCGATAGCAGAATATGCATTTAAATGTAGTCTATTTTGAAGACAAAATAAATTTTGATGATTGAATATATTGTGTTTTATTGACAAATTTCAAATACTTTTTTAACCGAATGTACAATGAAACGGAAAATCCTTTTAATCTCTAAGACAGTTTAGTTGTTTTTTTTTTACTTCCAAATTGAAACCCAATTTTATTTAAAAGTAAGTTTGTTTTGTCCCTCTACCGCTAAACTATAACTGACTACAATTTTTCAAATTCTTGTTTAAAAAAATATACCTTCCAAAATTTTCTATTTTTCAGTAAAATGATTATCAATACATTGTCAAAATTATAATTATTTTAACTTTAGCACCCTGTAGATTGAAAAGGTGTAATATTTGATTGAAATTGATAATTGAGGCAAGTTCATTGGAATCGCCCCTCTCACTAAGTTATGTCCCATTCTTAGCGAAACATTCTGAATTTTACACATAACCACTAACTACCTTTGTAAATAACTGTGTACAAACTACTTAATGAAATGCATACTTCCTTAAAATATTTCAGCAATAGGATTAAGCAAATGGGTTCAGATCATGATCAGCAACTTATCACAGATGGCTTGTGGCAGTTAAAGACATTTAACATTGAACAAGACATACATACAGATTTTACTTTAACTATTTTTATATTTGATTGTTTTATTTGTTGATTTAGCAGTTTTATTGATGCTACCATATTTTAATTAAATGATAATGGATTTCTTTTATTATATCTATTTATTGTTCAAGTTTACGATAATTTTTATTTGAAGTCCACCATTACTGGTTGTTCATTTAAAAAGTGTAAGAGCACGATAAATATGAAAAGCAATTTCTTGCATTTACTTCTTATATTACACATAAGCTTTTTTTAATTAGCTTACCCAGATAAGCGGATAACATTTTCACTAGCTTACTGTGGTAAGCCCTGCTAAATGAAATCAACACCACCTATAAGTTTAACGCAAGGTATATACTCTTATCTGTATCTAATCTAAAATAAGTCAGAAGCGATAAATTTATGAAAATCCATTATTACAAGGGTTGGCTTTTATATTTTGGGAATGGACCGATTGTAAGTAATTCATTGGCCCAGCTATTGAGGATTTCTAGCATTGCCGAATGTGACATGGTCGGTTCCTTGAAAGTATTTTATTACTATTGTAAGATATATACAAGGTGATTCTTAAATGCACCAATACAGAGCATGTGTGTGTTATAGACTAGAATATATTATTTTAATAATACCACTTATACCTATATACTAAGCTGCTTCATTTAGCCGGTAGGTGCTAAAGTCGGTGAAAAAATATAGTATCTTCCAAATAACTAAAATCCATTGTCAAATTTAAATAAAATTTGGTATGATATGGTCTCGTTTTGACATAATAATCGTAACTATAGTTTGTAACTGGGAAAAATATCTTCTACCATTGAGTTGATATGTTCATATTTTTTTATAGGTTGACAAGTGACCTTGCAAGTTCAGTTCTCATTTTAGCATAAAGGTTATAATTTTTTAGGTACCTATACCTAATGATTTTCGTGTAATTAATTATTTTATTATCACTAATAAATTTTTTACATAAATCTGATTTAATCGTCATAGAAAATTTGATTTATTAATAATAAGGATGATCTGAGAATAAAAAATTTGTAATTGTACACTCTTTCACGAAAATTATTGAAAATGGTCAGCACCGTTTCCTGTAACACAATTCAGTCAAAAAAATTAAAAATTTGTCATAATAATAAATTAATTAGTTAGTCATTACTAATACAAAAAAATGTACAAACAGAAAGCTTAAAAAAAACCTTAGTTTTAAGATGAAATAAGAGCTGAAGCAAAAAAATATGAGTATATTTGCTTAAAGGAGGGTAAATTTTTTACATTTCTGTGATTGTAATTACTTCGGTGACGTGAACAAGTGGTATAGAGATAAACTGCATTAAAATGTCCTATTTTAGGGACTCCTCTGCCTTGTGTTGGTTCATAAACGAATCACCCTGTATAAGCATAATTAGCCAGAAGAAACTTGAGATAGTTTATTCTTTAATCACATATTAGTTATATTTTATATTACAAATACAAATTATCATTATTATTATTAGTGTTAGTAATACATGAAATAAGTAAGAGATCAAATTGACGTTGAATTGAATTCGTATATATCTACTCCAATTCTTTTAAAGCAAACAACCAATAATAAGAACAGCTGATGTAATTTTTATAAATGCACACAAGTTATTGAAATCTGATAATTATGTTTTTCTAATTTCCTAAATAATGATGTATTAAATATAGGTTGACGCAGAAGTCCGATTATGGTTAAATAATGAATAACTTTCATTGCTTGTTAATAGCATTTTTAGCATTTAATACATCGTTTGGAAATATGTAAGTGTACATTATGTTTTGAAAACTACATCTTGCAAATTCTCCTGACTTGTTTCCTTTGAGGGAACTTAAGGAGGTTCGATACCGAAAAAAAAATGGTAAGAAAGTTTTGAAAATCATTGAAATCTGTTAATAAATATGCCAACTGCCTCGTGTAAAAATATTAGATTGATTGCCAATATAGTTTTTTTGAAAAATGATATTAAAAATTATGCTCTTATGGGAGTTGGGAAAAAACTTTAATCAAACGTGAATATTTCTGGGAAAATAAAATTGTAATTAAAGAATTAAATATTACTAAACATTTTAAAACAATAAAAATATGCACTTACAAATGTAATTATTGAGATAACGGAATGAATATATAACGTTTTGGCAAATTCGAACAAACATCTGATCTAATGAAAGGAAATATGGCAACACTGCACGCTGTATTTAACGCTTTGACTGACACGCTATATTTGAATAGCTCGATTATAGACTATAAAATTATTGCAATCGAAAACATATGTAGTAATAATTAATATTAAATAAATTTTTGGTGATGTAATGCAATATAATAGCAATTTGAAACAAAAATTGAAAGGATCTCTTTGCAAAACAGAACAGGTGTTCTGTCATAATCTTCAATTTGACAAGGTGACGTCTCACTATCATACACTGAGCTTCTTGATAGTTATCATACAGATTCTCGGTTTGCACATTTTACTTTTTTTTCATCAATCCATATTATGTTTCATACGCATTTTATATTGCTTTTCCTTCGTATCTTGGATGTTCATCAAGTTTACGGAATATGCGCAAAGCACAACTGACAGTAATGACAGTTGACCCAACTTTTACCACTACGGCATGGCAATGGCAATGTTGCCAGATTTCATCCATAATTTTACAAGCTCTTAATAAATAAATAGACACTTTTGTTCAAATAAAATGTTAATTGCCGTGCATTAAGCACGAAAAATATATGCAAGCTAATATGTGTTGTATAAATTTCATTCGTATATATTATATCTAGTGCGCTCAAATTAGTTTTTGTAAGGTTGGTACTACAACGAAACTACCGTGTATAAGCATAGTCTTCCCTTCCGCACCACCTGCCCTGCAAGAGATGTATCAAACCTCTTTAAAAGGTAGGGTGGATGCAAATAAACCAAGGACCATATAAGAACTTGAGGCCAATATTTGAGAAGAAACTGATGCGTTGTAGCCTACAATTCTAACCAATAATGGGGAATGCCTTGGACAGAGCATCATAGGTAAAAGTTGAAAATGGGCGCCATTTGCAAGATGTCATTTTCAAAACAACATGTATAGTCTATCCGATCTCAATTGAAGGCCAAAGAGCTAGGCAGTATGAACCAGGTTCGGTCGCTACACAGCAAGTCGGCATTGAAATATTTAAAAAAACTTGTTCCCATATTTATTTAGCCCTACCCATATACTGGTCTGGTCGAACTAAACGTGGAGGTGGTAGAAATGTATACGTCCAGCTGAAGAATGTGCACGCGGGCAAACAGCGCAGAAACAAAGCCGCGGTGGGTGACTGGGCCATAAATTTCATTTGTCAACAGATTATCTATCAGTGCAGTGCAGCAATGCGGAATTTGATATGATTAAGGTAATTTTAATTTATTATACATATTATTATATTATATATTTCTATTAATCATTCATATTACAATTGCGAAAGGGAGAAATAAGAGGGATATTTTGTTTACTAATATTATTACAACATGGCAATTTGGAGACCTTTTGAAACGGAACAAAATGCCAGACAATATTGAATTAGTAGAACTGGAAGTTGATGAAACAGATTTAGATACAGATTTACATGTTCAATATTAGCGTCTCATTTTAAATATTTATGATTGTTTAAAAAAGGAAGAAAACGAAAAATCAGATAATGAAATTGCAAATAGAATTCACGTATTAACTAAAGTTTCAGTGTCCACAATTTTTCATGTTATTAAACAAGGTGTTATAGATCATTGCATAAGAGGAAACGAAAACAAACATTTAAAAATATCGATGACATGACGAGATATGTAATTCGGCGGACAATTTGTAATTTATATAAAGAAAATAAAGTACCAACTTTAGAGATGATTAAAGATAAATTGCGTTCTTGCCGAGCAGTAATATATTTTAATGAAGATGTAAATGTTTTTTGATATGTCATAACCAAAATTTACCATCAATATAATAAAATTGTTTGAAGACATAAATAATTATAAATAATTAAAATATGTTGTTGGCCAAATAAACATATAATAAAATTTTCTACACATTATATAGGCACCTGCAAATTATAATTTTTTCACCTTTAGCAGAAAACTTTTTTAGGGACGCCTATGAAACTCATTAAATTTTATTGCTAGGTGTATTTCATACATGTTCAACTGATTTCGGAAAGACTATACATTACTTTCAAGCAATGTAAATTCATTAACTTTAAAACAATGAAGATAACAAAAAATTACTAGAAACAAAGAATTATTTATTACATAAACCCTAACAGGATTTATGCGCCACCCTATAACATGATAAAAACAGTTGTATTCATTGCCGCATAATCAAGACAAAACTGATCTTTCAATATTGACGGGTCATATATCAGCATATCAGCAGACCGTTTAAATAAATTTAATTGATTCCATCGGATAAGCTCGAATTGTGTGTATCAAAATCATAGAATCAATCATATTTCTGTACTGTACCTCATTTTTTGCACAAAGTGATAAAAGACAAAAATGACAAAATGTGTTAAATATTTTAAGCAAATTGAAAAAAATTACTATCACTATTATAGTATTTTTTTTATTTATTTAAAGTAATTACCCCCATCCCACAGAAACTGTTTTTGTGCAATAAATTTACGCCGTCTAATTTTGTATATAATTTTAAAATTGATTTCACAACCTACATCTTTCTTACTGCAGAATAACTTGTGTGCAACACTTTAACGGAACAGGACAAAAATGCTTATTACATGATATTCTTGTGCAACACTACAGATGATGTGCAAGGTTGTCTTTTATAATTACCGTCATAATACCATATTTATACATGACTAATGTAAACCTTGCGTTTGAGAAAACCACTGTTGCGCGCAGGAGATGAGATGCCCGGGTCATGGCTGAAACATTGACACCACCACATGCACTTTAATCTACCACTATTTCTATGTCTCTCTATAGTCGTCATAAAATATGTTAATGCACATTCTGCAACCTTAGAAGTCAAGAAAAAACACAATTTATGACCAACACTTAGTTTTTTTTTAAATGATGCCTATTAAAAACTGTGGTAAAATTTTGATTTTGTTCATTTTCTCTACAAAATAAACCACTGTAAAAAATCTTTTAAATTCCACAAATAATTTACAAATAAAGATTAAATTTGACATTGAAACATAATTTAACTACTTACTAATATAAAAAAATCAACATAACATTAAGATTAACTCTTGATTAAATGAGGTTGTGTTCTTTCTAGACTATTTAAAAATGTTAAAAAAAAAACATCAAATACCTTCTTCGCCTAGAAAAGCTTTGACCTGGAAGACCAAAGTATCCCCTAGGAATTACCATTCTAGCATTACCCTGTGCCGGTCTAGATCCACCATGAGACATTAACATTGTTAAATGTGCAGCATAACCGTCCATCAGCACCGTAGCCTGGGATTGTTGTTTTTTAGAAGCTTTTCCCACTATAAATATCTGTTTTGATTTCAGTCCAATTGACGTATAAACACTTATGTCTTTGGCACTACCGTAAGCAGAGTGTATTGCTACACCATGATTCTAAAAACATATACACACTATTATTTTTCCACAGATTTAACACAAAATAAAATAAGAAAATATCTTAATAGCATTTTTTTGTAAATTTACTTCCCGTATTTCATTTATTTATGTTAGTTGATATATTAGGGTGCTGTTTTCTCAAGCAGCAACGTGGTAACCATTTTACTGTAAGAGATGCAAGATGGTCATATTGTAGAATTAGTTATAAAATAGAATTTACTGACCACTGACATGCCAAAAGCGAAAAGCTGAAACTTCTGAATTTCATTTTCATTTATTTTTTTTGTTTAAAAAAAATAGAATGAGGTGATCATTTTAAGTGCAGACGTTATTATTATGACACTTTTTTATTGAGAATGCGAATAAGTAACCACATTTTTTTCTTAGAACTGTTCTGAACAATAACTTACTATGAAAAATTTAAGAAGATGGATATTTCGTTTCCAATGCCCTCTTTGTAAAAGTAGATAATATTGTTTTTCAACAAAACCAAAAAAAGTTATATCCATTATATGAAACATTATCGTAATAAAAAAAAATGAGCTGATTTAAAAAATGTGAAAATTCAATATGGCGCCCACAAAAAATAAATTTTGTTAGATCAAAATAGGTGTAAAGCATCAAAATATTCCACACAAAATTTTCCATATAAAACTAGAAAAAAAATCTGTCTCATGGATAATTTCAAAATATCAGTTAGGAAAGACCATTTGACCAAAGAAATTGGTTAAATTTCTCTTCAGCATGATATTCGTCGATAAATTCTGCTACGTTACTTTGATTTAGTGATTGTGTCGTATACAGGATTATCCAAAAGTCCCAGTACGGCAGAAAAACTTTTGAAGCATTTTGGAAAAAATGTTTCAGACAAAAGTATAAGGACTTTTCTCTGGCTATCTGATGGTGATATTGGATTTGACCTTGACTTTGACCTTCAAGGTAATTTGAAGGTCAAGTTAAGTTTTTTAAATGGAAACCCCTATTTTTTATTGTGGATTTGGAAAGAGCAGGAAATTTTACGTCCAAAGATGGTCTTGACTATGACTTTGACAATGACCTTCAAGGTCAAATGTGGGTCGACTTCCAAAAGGTGAAATTTTTTTTTTTAATCCTACTTTGCAATTTTTTGAAATTTTTGTTTCAGATCAACCGACTGGATATAATGTTTAGGAACTGCAAACCGTGCGAGCAAGGGACATTTTTTACGCCGGCCATGACAGCGGCGCTCTCAGTCGATACATATTTATAAAGAAATTTGTCAGCATACCTCAACATATATACTTTTGAATAAACCTGGATAAAATTGATCACATAGTTTTTGAGACAATAATTCCTAATAATTCCTACTAATAATAATAATTCCTTCTAAATTCTATCTAATTCCTTCTAAAATCCACCTATTTTTACCGCAGTCTACTCCGTTGTTCCCCTTAATTACTCAAAAATATGTTAATTATTAAACAATACATTATAAATCAATATACAGTAGAACCTTGATAAAATAAGCAATACATACATTGATTAGATTACTTAAATATGCAGCTTTGTGGCCGAGAGGGTCAGTAGACAAGCCGTCTGCAAAGGAAATCAACCCATGCGGAAAGTTATGCTGTGACAACCAGGATACTACTCTACGATGCTGCATATCAGGTCTTCCCGTAATATATATGATTAAGTATCCCAATTCCTGCCAATGCCTTTAAAAATTGTATTACAAACATTGTTAATGCATTAAATTTTTAATATTTACCTGACTACATCCACTGCACCAGCTCTAACCTTAGGATCCCGTCCCGTTACCGACATACTTGCTGTAAATGATCCATCGATGCTAAATACAACACATTCCGTTTTGGGGGGAACCACGGCCAGAAAAAAATCTACGGATGTATGGTCTCCCCTCACAACCATCTGAAATACAAAAGGTACAGACAGAGTGCCCGCTTAAAACTAACATCTGTATAGCTTTTTCAGTTTTAGTTCCATTTAACTCATTTTTTTTTCAAAAGCTCACTAAGATGAGCAATGAGCTCACTAATTTGCGATGCAAAGGGGTACGACACGCAGAAGCCCATTCCAAAAGACCAGAAGTTTTAAATTTCTGGAAAAACTGAGCGGAGAAAATGAAAAAGATAGTGAAAAACTAAACAAACTAAATATATTGTATCCACGGATAGAGTTAAAAAAGGGTAAAACTTTATTTTTTATTTTATGGAAAAAGTCATTCTTATTAGTAAAATATGTTTGTGTTCAAATGTACAAAAATTTAGTTTTAAGGTGGTCAATATACCTATACCGTGCTTTCACCGTACAATGCTACATAGGGAATTAGCTTCGTTCGAGTTCGTAAACTTGGAAGGGTGGGGAGCGCTGGGTGCTGCAACCTGACTGATGTGAGATATGATCACGTACGCCACAGCGCCGCACGCAGAGATCGACATCCCCACCGCTGAAGCCGCACAAGTTTGACCGACGCACCTATGTAGTGTTTTCCCATGAAAGCACGGTATAGCATGTTTTTACAAGGAATGATTAGAAATAGATGATTTTATCTATTGAAATCCATACATTATAGTTTTGTTGAGGTTCCCATATAACCCAATTCCAAACCGTTCTAATCATGTGCAGTCTGAAATATGTTTTCTTTGAACGGTTCAGAATTTCGCAGATGTTTGTTTTGGTTTTATTCGAACTTGATTCAGAATCTTTCTGACCCATCCAAAGTAGTTCTTGCTCCCAAGCATGAATTATTTAGAACTGTTTAATTGGTGCATGCGTAGTTATCATTTTCGAAGATCACCTTGATTATTTCCCGCAAACACTGTAGTTTTTTCATTTCATGTTTTTCTTTTACGAAATTTATTGGAGTATTTCTACATTATCATTTTCTACTTCCAGTTCTGAAGAATTCGATAGAATTTTGGGAGTTATTTGCTCTGAATTGCAAAGAAGAATTATTCACACATTCCTGTCAAATACACAGGTTCGGAAAGTCCCCATGGTACATCGGCCGTTACGTAAGAGCGATAAAGTAGAGAAGGATGGCTATAATGAAGGCGTCTCATAGTCATCACCCGTTTCCCTCTTCCACAAATAAGATCCACTTCCACTTGTAATTCAGCGACCGGTGGTCATCTTTGTTTTCGTCGTTTGCCTTTTCTTTAATAGATGTCACTACTTATACAATTCCGACTGGTATTCCGATATGTTAATACAATTCGTTAACAGAGGACAGCACAATTTCTCTAAGGTGAGGCGCAGCCTTAGAAAGAGTGATGCCAGATTTTTTTGGAATTGGGGAAATAGAAAATTTTGCTTTATTTCTTGGGATTTTTAAGTCATTTTAAAAAGTATTCTTAAATAACAATTAAATGAACTTTAAATGCAGCTGAGCACTATACTCCATTTGAATAACTTCTCAGTAAGGGAAACACGGTCACTAGATTTACAGAGGTATCTACTAGCTACTGTAAAAAGTTTTCTTTGTTACGTGCTTTTTCTTGGTGGCCACTATGTGGCGTGTATGAATTATGATTTCGGAATAATCCCAGAACCCCAGATTTCTGTCAAACAAGGGGATACATACAGACTAGCTCTGTGAATTAGCTCAAGCATACACTGTATAAAATTTATTTTCTGTTAAATATTTGTAAAAATATATCAGTTTTCGAATGAATAAAATATCTGACTTAACCAAGTATAAGTACATCACTAATACCCATTGAGCTGCCTTCTGTTAACGGATTGTATTAACATATCGGAATACCGGAATCGGAATTGTATAAGTAGTGACATCTATTAAAGAAAAGGCAAACGACAAAAACAAAGATGACCACCGATCGCTGAATTACAAGTGGAAGTGGATCTTATTTGTGGAAGGGCGAAAGGGGCGGTGACTATGAGACGCCATCATTATAGCCATCTTTCTTTATCGCACGGATTTCTATGACTTACTTTATCGCTCTCGCGTAACGGCCGATGTACCATGGGGACTTTCCAAACCTGTATACAAATAATCATATTTGTATCTTAACATCGAAACTGGATATAAAATATTCCATTTCCACCAGAGAAAATTATTTTAGTTCTTTAGTACGCAAAAAAAAATTTGAGATTAAGGTATAAGGCAAAGACCCAAAGAGCAGACAGATGAAAGTGATTAGATTTGGAACTTATTAGTTCATTACTAAAAACAACAGTTTGCTGCAAATGTCACGAATTCTAATGTGTTTTGGTTTTCAAAAGAATCGGGACAGTTCTGAATCGTTCAGGATTTTGTCTAATGTGTTTATAGTTCTGCGCACATTCTGGATTGTTCAGAAGAAGAGAACCCAAACAAAGCTTATGCCAATAAGAAGAATAAGAAACACATAAGTAAATAACCAATCTTGTTCCAATGCACAGAGCGTTTCCAATAGTCTAATCAATTTTTTAGCAAGAATAAATAAAAATAAAAATATATTTTGGGCAAGACTTCGCTTGGTTAAAAAGTAATTTGAAATATATTTTTATTAAAAATCAAGTCAGAAGCAAAAAACATATTCTGTACAGATAAAGTGAGTTTTTGGTATAATGTATCAAAAAAATTAATTAGAAAGTGGTTCAGAATTAAGATTTATTCCCATATTCCAGATTTGAAAGTATTGGCCTACTTTTATTTTTTTATTTTTTGTTTTGTTTATTAATTTCAAATTTCACAATCTAAACGATAATATTTTTCAATGAAAAAAGACCTAATATTAATTTGAGGTTTGCATTTGAGGAAGATAGGTAAATTTTTGTTCATATATAAAACCTAATATTTTGAAAAAAAAAATTAAATCTAGATAAAATAAAAATTATGAAGCTGTTACAGTCATAAATGGGACACTGCAGATTCAAGACCGATATAAATTAATCTCATACGGACAAAATATAACAAATTGTCACTATACCTTGATCGGATAAAGTCCATAGCCAAGAGCCTTATCTTCTGGAACGGCGTAAGTTATTCTTCCTGTTTTATCTGTTACCTCTGTAGATAAATGAATCCATTCCCCTATAGGCACGTCTTTCATTACATGGATATCTACTTTTTCACCAGTTAGAGTTATCATGTCCAAAGGACCATACATGAATCGAGCTGTTAATACCTGCGGAGCACCTTCGCGTACAATGACGTCATTAGCTCGATGATTGGCAGTAACGTTCTAACAAAGCAAAAATATTTTTACCACACATATGTATTATTGTAAATTGTAAAATTATTATCAGCCTAGCAATTTTACCTTAAGCTTAACTGATGTTCTCTTTTTGATCCACTTTTCCCTTGGTTGGCCAGGACGAAACATAGGTTCATTATCGTCTCCACCTGGCAAGGATGTAACCTCAATTCCCCCAATTTGTCTTAAAATGAATGCAATAACGTCATTGCTTTCCCAATAACTAGCATGGAATAAATGAGGTAGTGCATTTGTTGGGAAATTTGACAGTCCTTCTGGGCAGTATAAAGCGTAGTCCATGCGTTTTCCTCCCCACCATTTTTGTTGCACTAAAGAAAATAAATTAAGAAAATGTTGATGTCTGTATCTATAAAAAGAGGCATATGAATGAAAAATCTCATAAAAAAAGTCCTATTATTTTCGTCCAAAGAATCTGCGATTAACAGTTTGGCCCCAAATCTAGTACTTTATTCTATTTGTGGAAAAAAGAAACTTAAATAGGTACGAACAGTGCAATAGTTAAAAGTGGATAAGGATAAAAAGATAACAAGAACATAGAAGTGGTAGAGTTCATGCAAATTTCACAATTATACTTACAAGCATTAATAGCTTGGAGAGGAATATTATCAATCAAACCAGAGACCGTACTCTGAATAGAAACTTCAGATAAACGTCTAGGTTGCAATGTTTCACTAAACATTTGTGGGTTAGTTTGGAGAATCTCGACTAGAAGAATGTTAAGAATTTCAATAAAACTACTTATGATATTGACAATGTCACTACTTAGTTAAAAAAAAGTGTCATGCATTAGGTTGAGTTAGTAGTAAATTGCAACAGGTTCAAGAACTAAAAGTACATTCTGTCAAAAAAGTATCCGGAATTTCTCAATAAAATACAATATATTCAATTAATCATCTCCAATGAACAACTCACAACTTCAGTGATTTTTGTTTTTTAGCTTCCGACTCAAAATGTGTTCCATAAAGTGGTAATTTCAGTATGGGAGAGAGGGAAAAGTCAACAGGGGTTTTTTAGTCAAAAAAAAATTCATTCACAATTATCGCTTTGTGTAAAATCCAAGAACTGTCCTTCCATAAATTTGGTCTTTTGCAACAGATACTCACTTTATCGATATTTTCTTCAGTTGACGAAATTGAAGTACGAACAGAATTTGGCAAATCATCAACCACTTCTCGGCCAATGCTTTGTATAGTCGTTACGATATCAGTTGAAACCGCATAAAAACATTTAATTCATAAACTCTAAAATCCATAGGCGTCCAGAAAAATTTTGCCCTGTCTTGTCTAGAAATACTATATTCCGAGCTATATTCCTATTTAGTTGACGCTATTCTTGAGTTTTTTGTAAGTAATCTTCCCGAAGTGCAACTATACGTCGTGATTCCATAATTATCATACGATTGTCAAGTTTTTTATGTTTAAAACCGCATTGTAATAAAACATGTCATAAAGTATCTAAAGATTTATAATTATTATAATCAGAATATTCGCTTAATTTATATCAAATCACCTTTAAAGTAGGAACTTTATTTTCTTTATACATATTATAAATTGTGCGCGGCATTACATCTCGGTAAAATCGTCAATATTCTTTAATTTTGTATTTTTCTGTTTCTTCTTTGTACCATGATTAATAATGTCTCCTTTAATTACACGATAAATTGTCGTTATTGATATCTTAGTTAATTCGCTAATCCGTTCCCTAATTTCTTTAACACATCGTTCACTATTTTCTCTTTTCAAACATTCATATATATTTAAAACAATACGTTGGCTTAGTACTTGTAAATCTTTGTTTTTAAACTCTGAATTTGTTTCGACGCTTTGGACAAAAACCGGCTCGACTATTTGGGGATTTTCCCGGGTTATTTCGTTATCTTCGGTTTCAAAGGGTCTCCAGAAAGCCATGCTAAATTACTAGATAATTACATATAATATTTATTTTAATAACTATTACCCTTTACTGGTTACGATATGAACAAATATTAATATTAACTAATAATTAATAATACGTATTATACCAACAATAAATATACCACACGCTCTCCATGGTACTGCAAAGCCAAGTGAACCGCGTTTGACACCAAACTAATTATAGAATACCATGCAAAAAATTATTTACGACCTAGTGGACCTATACAGGTTTGCTTTGACAACCAGTGTGCTGCCTTCGATTCTACATCAGGCAGACTGGTCTACCAATACCGGACTCGCCCAATGGCTATTCGAGTATAAATTACGAGACGTCATGGCTAAAGCAGAAGAAATTTCAAGAGAAGTGCAGACAGATCCTGTGCTTTAAGATTCATAGGTTCCAATTGATATTGTAACAACTATACGGTATATGGTATGCTTGAATTTTTGATAAAACTGAATTACCGTACGCCTTTCCCAACATTTTTAACGATTCAGCACAAGAAATTCCGTTGGCAGCACAAAATTTTAGACAAAATGTTCAATAACAATATCTATGTAAAAATCGCAGAACACACTTTAAGTGCAAAATTAACAACTGTAAACAAACTACTTGACGAATTGTGCCCTATCTTCGCGTCAGAGTAGAATACAATGCTACCAATTTTCTATAAAAATAAAGTTTTGATCTACTTTACACTAAATTTTTAAATGACAAATTCCAGATAGTTTTTTGACAGACTGTATAATATTTCATATAATAACAAACTGTTTCTATTTTGACAAAAATACCAGATCACTACAATACTAGTGACTCGAAGAGCTACTGGCTAATAGTTTTTAGAAAACAAAAGCAACAATGGTTAATTTTAAAATCTCAGATATCTTGTCAATAACTATAAAGAATTGTTAAAAAAATTTACAAATGAAATTCTTTGAGTGACTAGTTATGAGATGCAAGAGGAAGATTTCAAATTTTCAATTCAAAGTTACGTTCAACAAAAAGTAATTATTTGCTACTACATGTTACTATATGAAATTTTATAATTATGCCATTACCGTCAAAAATAAAATATCCAAGAACTTACGCAAATGATAAGGTTGACCATTGCCCAAGGGGTATTTGGCATATCGGGAGACATTCACAGGTGGCAATATCGAGAATCTTGCTGACAAAAGAGGTTCCAATCTTGCAGCCACAGGATCAGTTGGATGGAACATATTATAAACTTGAAGACAGGTTGGACGGGTTATATTGTCTAAAAAATGATAAAGTGAAAGACCGCAGCACAAAATATTACAGCTTACAATTTATTTTTCTATACTCACTTGCTTTGTCGTCTTGGGCAGATATCTTTCTATATGCTAGAACTAACGCAAGTGGACTTCCAAACATGAAGAAGTCTGTTACATCAAACTCTAGTTTAATTTGTCCAGATTGGTCGCTCGTCGAAGAGGATCTTCTTCTTGGTGATGGTGCAGTTAAATATCCAGTTTCATTTATTTGTACATCGTCTAAAACACAGAACCAATAGTTCTTTCAAAATTACATACAACTACTGATTATTTAACTGTAACGGCTATAAACTTTTCTAAATCTAGCTTACTTTTAGTTACAGAAATTTCTTCATATAAAAAATTGCTTTATTTGATTAAGGTTACTATTAAAATCACTGTCTCAAAAATCCTTTTTTTAAATTTTTATATACTGTATTTTACATATAAATTACCTTTTTGATAATCATTATCCAGTATACTATTCTCACTACCATGTCTTGAAGAATACTTTGATGTTCTACACAAAGAATCGTAAGCTAAAATGGAACCTATGGAATCAGCTACAAAACACACCTGACCAGCAAAACCTTGCCCTTCGTCTGATTTAATAAAGTCTGAAATATAAATTGAAATCTTATACAGGATGTCTCTTAATGAATTAGGCTGAGTTAAATTATTTCTTAGGAACTACTAGAAGTTGAGAAAACTGATGGCACAGAGTTTTTTTTTAACTAAATTATCTGTCATTAAAACTGTTGATTATCTATATAAATAAAATTAAATACTGTTCGTTGGTAAGCGCAACACTTGGTAACATCTGGGCCGATTTGGCAATTTTTTTTTAAATCATATAATAATAATAATAACTTTATTTGACCAACAGTGTACAAGCACCATTTACAGAGCAAAATTTAAATATTCACAATTATAGTGCAAACACGATTCACAATTTCTATATATTCATACAAACAATCAAAAAATATTGAACAGGAAATATTTACATTACTATTTATCTAAACATACTTACGAATTAATTTAATAATTTCATTAATTGAAGAGTTGTTAATATCATATAAGTGTGCAAAGCTATTAAAATTTTTACTCATTACGTATAGTGGTCACTTCAGACGGATATTAGTTCTCACTCTAAACATATCAAAAGTAATACTTTGCCTAGAATGATACATAGACGTATTAAAAACAATTTGCCCTAAAAGGTCAGGAGAATCGATCTCAACATGCAGCAGTCTAAACAAAATATGTTTTCTTCTTAACTCTAGAGAATCAACATTAAACCTATTTGTTAAATAATTATAATATATTCCTCTTACAGGATATTGACCATCAACATTTAGAGCCAAATATTTTTAAAATCTCCTTTGCACTCTTTCTACTGCGAGAACATGAGGAATATATAAAAATTTATGGTCTGAAATTTGATGACGGACCTCAGGATAAATTCTGTTATATAATACTATTTCGAAACTTTAGCACAATTTGATAAAATAGAGATGGACCTGTAATTGATTATTTCAGATTTATCACCACTTTTAAACACCGGAACTACTTTGGCTTCTTTCCAAAGAGTTGGAAATATTTTGGCTTTCAGGGTGAGATTATTATAACTTAAAAAGAGTTTAAATGTTCGTAGCAGTTAGTAATAGTCCGAATAAGGGTTTTAGGGAAAGAAAAATTGGAAAAGTTGCTCGGTAAGCTAAAAAATTCTGGAAAAACTGAAAGCTTTTCGATCACCCACAAATTTATTGAAGTTTAGACAGGACGTCTGTCGGATCAGCTAGTTTCCAATAAATAATCTTGTGAAATAATATTTACCAACAAATCATTATTTCATTTTTATCATCAAATAAATCAAATATTTGATGACGATCAAACAAGATCTGCATTAATAATGCATTTTATAATATCTTAAAAAGACCGAGGTCAATACTTGCATATACAGGGTTTCCCACCACGAACTCCATTGATGGATATCTGGGAAACCGCTCAAAGGATTTTTTTGAAATTGTGATGGTGTGATACGGACCGTGGGGCCTACCAAGCTAAAATATTTTCAAGGTCATCGTACTTCCGGATATGCCAGAAGTCGATACTAACTTTCTTATTTTAAATGGAACCCCCTGTATATTATTGCATTTTTGGAAAGAGCATCTATTTGTAAGTTGAAAACATATAGCACACTCCATACTTAGGATTGACCGTTTCCGAGATATTTTGATTTTTAAGCAAAAATTGAGAGATGCAGACTGTCAGCAAAATTTAGTTTTCCCGGAAACATAGCTTTATTTTTTTGTGCAAATTCGACATTTTGTAGAGGAAGACCTAATTTATCGAATTTGACATGAACATTTTCCAGTCTTTATACAGGGTGGTCAAAAATTTTTTTTTACAAATATGAAGTCCAGAAAATGTGGAAAACTTGAAATTTTTAAATGGAAACCCCTAATTTTTTTTAACATATTCATATTCTGCACCAAAATTAAGTGTAATTTTGTTAAAGTTTCCCTTTACCTAAATCCAATGGTTTTCATTTTATTTACGAATAAACATTTACCTTTTCTTAAAATGATGTTTCCATCTGTTTCGCACATTTTAGGTTGGCCGTGACAGATGAGTAACAATACAACTGTCACAGGTTTTGACCAGCATTGAATTATACCTACAATATCTAAAAAGACATACATACTGATAAGGACAAATAAAATTGAAACCGGTATATGTCTGATGATTCCACTGAATAATTCTAGCTGTCTTTTAACACATATTGATTAAACCTGTATAATTCAATGCCAATCAAGGCATTAGCGGAGTAGTTGTTTCCTGCAATAACAACAATTAACCCTTAGGTTCCTCTAGTGGGTAATATGTCTGTAATAAATGCTGTTTGTGAACATATAAAGTCCTAGGTACTGAGTACCTGCTGTGCCTTGTGAAAAATATTGTTACTAATTTCTTAAAAGTACATAAGATTCTGTATAAAAGTGCTACTTTTAATAAATGTCATTATCAAATTGTTGCTACCAGTTTTACATAAAAATATCTATGAAGTCTATAATTCAAATAATTTATGTTACAAATATTTAGCTACAAATTTTTAAAATGATCTATAAAATCTCAGTTTTGTTTTAGAATCCAATGATCGGTTTTCGAAATATTTTTCTAAACTGTGTTTGGAACTTGTTGATGCAATTTTTTCAATAAATAATACTGTAAGATATTGATTGCTTATTTTGCACCATGTAAATTTCTCCTGTCATCTAAGACAACAAAATTTCTAAATTTTTGTAATTTATTTTTCTGTAATTATTTATGTTTATGTGATATAAAGTGCAAACTGACAAATCTGCAATATTCTTGCGTCATGTAATACTACAGCAGCTATATGAGCTGTTTCAGCCAGAGCAGGATATGAAATATTTAAGTTGAATTGGTCGAATACCAAAGCAAGCTTCAGAGAATTTTTACTGATATACTGTAGTATTTTATCACTTATTTGGTTAAATATTTTTTTTATCGTGTTTGTAATTAAAATTTAATAGATAATATCATGGATGAATAAATAAATGATTACGAATCATATAAAAGAAAACAGTTATTATATTAGCTGAACATTGCATAAAATAAAGGATTTGCTTAAAAAATCTGTCGGTAATATGTGACACGGATGTAACTATGTAATAATGGAATGTTGAATAAATTCTCAATGTTTTCCAACAGATGGAGTTACAAGAACTGCAAGCGGCTAGTTTAAGATGGTAACACACATATGAAATTCAGTGCATATTACTTCGCCGAAGTGTAAACTACATTTTTTCCGTAGTGTTAAACATGTCGAATTACGTGCCCAAGAAAGCATTTGCGGGCAATTTTACTGCATAACTTTATTCAAAAGAAATCTGAAGCTGAAGCACACAGAATTCTTATTGAGACTTACCGTGTCCATGCTTTGACACAAACAATATGCAGAGATTGGTTTAGATGCTTCAAAAATTATGATTTTTGAAGTGGTAGAAAAAAAGCCTCTGTGACACCGAAATAGTTTGAATACTCAGGTTATCTGCAGACTGAACTTGCAGAATCATTAGGTATTGACCACACAAACGTTTCTAAACGTTTGAAAGCATTAAGAATGATTCAAAAGCAAGGACATTGAGTGTGTACGAGTTGCAACCGAGAAACGTCCAATGGCGTCTTTGCACGTGTGAACAGCTGCTTCAACATCAGAAAAAGGATGGTTTCTTGCATGGTATTGTAAATGGCGATGAAAAATTGATAAGCTAAGATAATCTTAAGCGTAGAAAATCATGGGACAAGCCCCACCATGCGTCAACATCGTCAGCAAAGCCGAATATCCATGGTTCCAAGCCTCTGCTCTGCATTTGGTTGCATCAGCTGGGCGTAGTTTATTATGAGCTGCTCCACTGAGTGAAACCATCATGAGAGATCGAGCGATTTTGCAGCATGACAACGCTCGGACACATGTTGCAATACCCGTGAAAACCTACCTGGAAACTATTAAATACTCCTATCTCATCTGCCATATTCACCAGACATTGTCCTTTCCGATTATCACTTGTTCTGATTGATGGCACATGGCCTGGCTAAGCAGTAGTTCCCTTCTTATGAAGATGCCAAAGAATGTATAGATTCTTGGATAGCCACAAAAGATGGACAATACTTTCAGTGAAAATTTTACACCTGTCATTTTGAGCCAATTACATACTGTAATTTCGACAGTTGCCCATGGCAACCTTCAAATTTTTCGGATTTTTTTTTCCTTTTGCCAAGCTAGGCAAACAAAATTAATAAGTGGAATTTTTTTTTATGACAGCTGTCATATGGTTCAAAAATCAGTACCTATCCAGAATTTTGCTTTGTAATGTTTTTATTTATTTTAAAATAATAAATAGATACCAATAATTATTTACCAAATATTTGTTCCGAGATTTCTTCTATTAACGCTAAATGTTTTTGAAATTCTGGCTGGAACTCTTCTCTGCAACAGAGAGTAACGAGGAGCATAATTATTAACTTTATTTTTAATTTCCATCAGATGTCTGTGTTTCATAAAATATATGTAATAATTTGATGAAATTTTGTTCTGCTGAGCCCTGGTTTTACGTAAAAAAGATGGGATATATTCCTCCAAAATCTTTTGAATAACTGCGAAAAGGTTTTATTGATGCGGACTGATTCCAGTTTTTTCAGTAAATATGGCAAATACTTTAAATTTTTATGAGACATAAGAATGTCCCCTATTTTGGTGCAAGAATTACATATACTATAAGGTTTTAAATTAGTTTTTTGGTTGTTCTCTGCCATGATTTAATTGTAAAGAATTAGAAGATAGAGGAAATGACCGTCAATGTGATGTATAGCGAAGACGAATTTGACATCACAAGCCTAAGCCTATACTTGATTGCAGTTATGATTTCTTAAGAATCATTGATATTTGCCATAGACATCGGTTTACCACAAAAACTTACTTTCCTTCTATTTTAGTAATACTAAGTGAATTGTACTGCAAACATAAATATCATAATTCAAAAATCAAATGCCTTTTTTATTACTAAAGTGCAAGGAATGTGTTTTTTTATGTTTTAATAAGAATTATTGATAAACTGCCATGGACATCAGTTTTCTACAAAAACTTACCTATATAGTCAAATTTGCCACTTCTGCTTTTATGTTTTTACAATTTTCATTTTCAAAACAAGCCATTTTTGAATTTAAAAAAATACATGAAATGCGATTAAATTATGTGACGTTTAAGGGCCCCATATTCTTTAAATAGTGTTTTCCGCAAAGACAAATAATTTCAAACATTTAATAACTGAATAATCTAAAGCTTATCAAATAATAGGAATGTTATGTCATGCCATCTGGTTATTTTCAAAGACGCCGCAGTAAAACGAATAAACAGGTGCAAAAAACGATCAAACCATCAAGGCTTTAGGTACTGAAATCTTCGAAAATACTAACTTTTTTATTTATAATTCCACATGTAAATATTCTTATAACATTTACTTGCTTAGTCCTACATATAAAATTGTTTACTTTTATTTATAAGTACGTGAAAATAATTCTTAAAATGTGGGGTTAGAATAACAGCAAACGCATGTTCTACAAACGCTTTTTTGTTAGTTATTATTTTATTTGAGTAAATTTAAATGGTAACAATGAATAAACAAAACATCAAGGATTTTTGTTCTACACGTTTTACTTTCAAAGATTTCAGTACCTAAAAACGCCAGAAATTTCACTATTTCTCGGCCGGGAATATGGCCACCTTAAGAAGAAACAAATATGTCATGCACCACAAAACAATGTCTACCTGTCAAGGCAACTTTATTTTGGGGAAATAAGTTTCAAAATGAAACATGTCAAATTTTTAAAATAAATTTTGGTTGTAAAATTTTCTTACCAAATCCCCCACGTCCCTGAATTAATGTCCAGAAATTTTTCCTCAATCACGCATTTTTCTAGAAAATGCGTTCCTTCAGAAAAATTTCCAGAAATAATTCAAGCACTAGGGAGATTATAAGTGAAAATTTTTTTAAATAAAGCATTAATTTTCACGAGAAAACAGCGACAACTTATTCAACATCTCATTATTATATAACGTTTTACTGAAATTGCAGAGGAAAAATATACTTTACAAACTTAATATAAATAAATATTATATTAATAATTGTAAAACTGTATATTTCATTAAGAGTTATAAATTTGCATAAATTACCTTGATATGCAGCATTTGCTGCAGTGATTGTCCGTGACACAGCTTCGATATAGTCAGAAGTTGAGGAAGCTAATATAGGAATAGCACCAATAGGAATGGAATCGTGAGTGATTTGTGGTACGTCTATACACGAGGGAGAAACATCAAAACTGTATGGACTAAGGCTGAAAACAAGAAAGATTCTATTTAGGAGACGATACTTAACCAAACTAAATATTCTTACCTGGATAATATTCCTAATCCTTCTGTACAAATTGAGGGACAAGACACTAATCTTATTGCAATGTGACCAATTAACGATGGATAATGTTGCCGCATCACCATCTCGAATGCACCACGGAAAGTAGTGACGTCGGATTTCTTTGCAGCCATATCTACATTAGCATCTAAAGACAAAAAAACATCGCAAATTGTAATCATTAGCAGGAAAATAATATTACCTAATACACTTCCAGCATGGAGGACTAATATTAATACTGTTGTGTTACAGGGTTGATGAGCTGGTGAAGCACTTGGTGAGTCCGGGCAAGAGGCATCAAGGGAGTTTATTTTCGCTCTCTGCATTAATCGTCTGTTACCCCGTTCACTAGCTACTCTCTGTAGGAATGTTGGTGAAAATATGCTGTCTTCTGCAAGACATTTCCAGATGATAAATTGATGGTATTATAAATTAAATGAAAACTTTTTACCTTGTTTGTCTACAGTAACAGTCGTCGGTGATGCTGTATCTACTTCCTCTTCAGTAAGGAGGTCTACGGAACTCCATTTTGCTAACGAAGAAGAATCCGTCATATCTGGAATCAAAACAATATTAATAAGCTTCTATTACCATTATTACTTTAATGATATACCTTCACAATCGAAATATTCCTCATCGGCTGGTGATTCCGAATCTCTACCTAAACTTTCTATCCGCCAATTAGCCACTTGTAGATCAAAACTTTTAATCGATGATGAACTAGGAGAGTGTAAATTGCGTGGTTGGTGCCATTTTTCTTCTTTTCTAAAATTTGTAGATAGAAGTAAATGGATTTTTATTAATGTATATAGAACAGTGGTTCCCAACTTTTGAGAGATGGCAGACCACTAAAGCCTGTATCAGACAATGTAATTTTGTTGCAGAGATTATTTGGTTGCCGCAATAGAATCCATGAAATTTTTCTTAGCAGACTATGTAATTATGTCCCGGCAACTGAATTGCATGAATTAGAACATGCTCTTTTCCGTGCAACAAAATTGCATGGATTCTAGTTGCTTTTATGAAGATTTGTTTATTACCAACCTAGCTGTTGATCATGGTTGTTGTTAGTAACACTGTTAAAGCCACTATTAAAGCTATACAGCAATTTACTTTTAAATTTTCATCCATTGCAATGTTTTGCTTGAATAAAAAACAATTGTTTACAAAATACATACAAGAAATTTGACATGTTAAACAATGCACAGTTGGTAACAATACTACAAACTAAACAAATTGCAGCAATTCTGTCCCAATGTATGATAATAAGCGTGCAATTTTATCCCCGCAATTTTGTCGCTGCAACTAAATTGCATTGTCTGACACAGGCTTAAAGCAATACTTGGCTCTTCAGGGAGCATGTGTTATAACTCGTCCAAAAAATAAGATGAATTTGTTTAAAAAATAAAAAACTTCATTTATGCTTCCAAATCAATTTCGTCGCCTTCAAAGTGTTTCCCACCCAATACAATGCAATTATGCCAACGTTTTTTCCAACTCTCGAAACAGTCTGAAAAGTCCTTTTTCGGTATGGCCTTCAATGCTTCCGTCGATTCAGCATTTATTTCCTAGATGGAGTTAAAACAATATCCACGAAGTGAGTTTAGGGAACAGCCAGAAGTCACTTGGTCTAAATCAGGCAAATACGGTGGTTGAGGAACGATATGAGTTGAATTTTTAGCGAAATGGTCTCGAATTATCAATGCTGTGTGAGTCGGTGCATAATCATGATGCAGAAACCAAGAGTCGTCTGTCCATAACTCCGGCCTTTTGTGGCAAATAGCATCACGCAAACAAAGCATAACACTCAAATAATAATATTTCTTGTTAACAGTTTGGCTAGTTGGAAAAAATTCATAGTGCACTACGCTTTGACAATCAAAGAAAACTGTCAATATAACCTTGATTTTTGAGTGACTGGCGTGGTTTTTTTGGTCTTGGTTTCCAGGTCGTAAACGTAGATCCAAATCTTTGCGTTTTATGACGTCTTGGTAGTCAGAAATCATTGTTTCACATATGTCAACGGGATGCTGTGTTTCAAATAAGTTGAGCGTTTTTGAAACCAAACAAGATTTGAAGCGTCTAAGGTACAATGAATTTTTTAAAATGGTATTTACTGAACCTTTTGAAACAAGGTCTCTCATTGTTAACTGACGTTTTTCGAGCATAAGATCTTTGATTTCATTACGTGTTGTTCATCAGCTGACTTTGATGATCTTATGACATGCTATTCGTCCTTAACGCTTTCTCTATCTTCTTTAAAGTCTTTGTATCACTTGTAAACATTTTTGAGACATAACCTTGTCACCAAAGGCCTTCTGTAACATCCTCAACGTTTCCGCGGCAGAATATTCATTCCGCAAACAAAATTTAATGCAAATTCTGTGTTCAAAAAAATCAGACAGTGAAAATTGATAAACTCAATTTCGTATGTTTACAAAAATATGAGCAGAAATTGAATATATTTAATCAAAACTCTGCATAGATATCAAAAACAGTACCACCAACCTACAATTATAAAAACACACTTTTATTCCGAAACAAGACACAAACATTCTTAAAAAATATAACAAACTATTATTAGGCCCAAAAAACGTTCCCTAACGAGATTTCTTAGCCTGCATTTGCTTCACTAGCAGAGAATTTTTATGACGTTGATGATGCTACTTAATGATACGCCCATATCGTCAACTCTGAGCTTTACTTTGGTTATGTACAGTGAATGAAAGTTTAGGGCTTTCCTTTCGGATAAATTAAGATGTCAAACTATTTGGGAACACGCGATTAGACTAATTTGAACCGCCTGTGGTCCTCAGATCACCGGTTGGGAACCACTGATATAAAATGTTGAAACATCTTGCATTCTGGTTAAACGAATAAGGCCGCTACCACATACAATTAAAATCTCACATTGTTTTATGTAGAAGAAAATTATTTTTTTAATATTAACTTACTTAATAGACAACATTTCATCTTCCGGTGAAAGATCAGCATCAGAGCTTGCAGCAGTTTGTATAGCTGGAATGCTCGTATTTTTTGTTAATAACGGACTGTCTTCAGATACCTCAATGCTACCAAGAGTGGCAGCTAATGTTTTACAAGGGTCCTCTTTAGCCGCACTGTTATTTAAATTATCATCTTCATCTGCAAATAAACACATCTATTTACAGGAATAGCACTGCAAGTATTTTGTATTGTAAGTATAAAGAGTATTAACTTTAAATGGGAGTCATATATTTTTTTTTACTCCTTTGTAATTTTTATACCATCGCTGGACAAGATAGTATAACCTCAAACAACCGCAAACACATAGAGAGTTATAGCATGCATTGTTGTCAAATCTCACCTCTCTTGACTCGTATACATGTCTTATAACATCACACATAAATTTAACAATAAATAAATAACAACCTAAACTAGGTCACTGTCATTGACGTTGAATTTTACAAACTAGACACAGTGCTTTAAGAAAATAGCAACAAATACTTTTTATTAAAAACTTAAAATGATTTAAAAAAATATTCCAAATCTATCAAAGTAGTATTTTATAAAACACAAAGAATTAATTAAAAAGAAAGTGTTACTTACAAATAGTAAAGGATGCCTATCCACATACATATTTGTTAATGTTTAATAAATCATGTAAAAAATATATTTTTTAAACACTCAAAATTTTTCTTAGTACTTTGACGTCAACATAAAAAAAATGTTAACTTTAAAACACGTTGCAAAGTCGTAGAAAAAACAATCCGTTCTTATGAAATTATTTTCTATTACAGTTTCAATCTGTCATTCCGTTAGTCGACACAGTTGGTTTAAAAAAGTAACAACATACAACACTAGCAAGCATGCACATCGTCACAAACAAGAGTTTATGTGCAATTTTAAAAAGAATTGTAATTTGACTATGACTAAAAAATAAATACTGACCCCCATTTAAAGTAGCACCCTGTATATGAATATTTAAAATGAAGTAGAAACTATAAAATGTATTTTTCTTTAAGAAAATCCTACCTGAAAAAACTGGACATCAGGTATAGAAAACGATAAATAATGGAAAATACTAAACTAATTATTTTCTTTAAATAAATAAGGAAATGGACATCCTTAAAACAGTTATTCTTAAAAAATATAACGTCTTAAGGAAATACAAGCAAAAACAGAGACGACTTTCTAAAATCAATGTAAAGTACTGAATTTGCATGTCATAATTAATGCATACCTATTTCATCTTCAATTTGACCCATCTTCCTTTTCAGAGCTAACTGGGTCTGCCTTTCAATTTCCCGTATATCTTCCATTGTTAACCCATGCCACTCGTCCTGCCATGCCCACGCCTGTCTGTGAGCCCTAAGCATTGTTTTCCTGAGAGCTAGAAAATATTAAGACAGAAATAAACATTACTGACTTTGTCACATTGAATATGCAATTGGTTTTATAGTAAATAAAAAATCTTTACAGGCTCTGCTGAAAATGTTCCTGCAGTGCTTCGGAGCACCTGCTTAGCACGATCACTCATGCGGTGCGCTCTGATTCATCACTGTTACCTGTAGGTCAGAAGACGTTGAGGATACTCAAAAGGTTACCAGGGTACGCTACTGTCATAATAAATTTGTATATGTGAGTCTGTACAGCTGCAAAGTGACGCCAAGCATGCGTTCATTTTTCCTTTGCATTCTCCATTTTGTGTATTTTCCTCGAAACCACTTTTTTCAATCTTAGCGAACTAATTACTTCAACACGGTTGCAGGGATCACTTTGAAATTTTGATAGTAGCTTCACAATTAGATTCTCTATAGAAGTACGTAGGGGGTTTTCGATTCGATTTGAACTTTTATTTTATAAATAATTAACTGCTTATTTTTTGGCAAAAAAATCTAAATTTTTTTTCAAGAGTGCGCCGTTTTTACAATATTTCATTTAAAAAAAATCCTACGTACTTCTATAGCCAATAGTAGAAAGATAATAAATATCTTCGATTTTTTCTAGATTTAAAATTGCAAAAGGTATTAGTTTGCTTCTGGAGTTGCTTTTTAAAATGGTCATTTTGAAGATTAGCTCTTTCGTAGCTATTTTGTACAATAATGATAATAAAAAATTATTTTATCTTTATCCGGCCGAGTTTTTTTTTGGTTATCACTTTTTACGGTAATGAACAATAATACTTGTCTTAATTAGAATTAAAATTACAATTGGCAAGCAATAGATTGTCATAATATAAAAAAAATCATTCAAATTTCATCATCCCCATTTTAGATCGACTGGTTCTTAGTGGGACACAATGTATAAATTTTTTTAATCGGTTAGCCACTGTACTCTCTCACTAAATAAAAGGAGAACAAGCATATGAGGTTTTAGTTGTACTTCCTATTAAGAGATGACACAAATAAATTGTAGCTTCTAAAGTTCCTAGATTGACCAAATTCTTGTTTGCTCAAATATAGCAGTTTGACATATATGTCAATTCGTAAAATTTATATAAAAAATCTATTAATTGTTGTAGTATTATAAACAGAAATATTGAGGAATTACATAATTAATTGTACATTAATTAATTGAATTGAAAATTCAAACTTATATATCAAGTTTGTCAATAAAAATTTTATATAAGTATTTGGAAACAGGACTTTTATTCCAAAATGACAGTTGACTGTGGTACTTTATCAATATCTAGAGACTTTAGTAGCCTTTATAAAGGCCTTTAGAGGCTTTATAAAGGACAGTGGTAATAAATAGCATCACAGTATGTTAATTGGCACCGCCATTAACGGCAAGTGTTAAAATTGATGGTTTTGTATTTTTTAGAAAATATTTTGATATTCGTGGTAACTTTTATGCTTTGGTTATTATAAATTGGAAAGACAACCATTTTCAGATTTATAAAACTATTATCTAATTAATTAAATATAATCAAATATATTCAATGATATATAATCTGTTTCAGTTTACTTTTAATTCAGTTAGTTAAAAACTAAACATTGTTAAATTTTTAGTGGGTGGGCAACGGTTTGTATATTTTAATGGAAAAATTTCTGGCAATTATTGTGGAAATTTTTTCAGATGCGTATTTAAATAATCAATGCACTTTAGAATAATGATGTTTTTTGTAGTTTAAAATAATTCAGTTAAAAATTAAATGCCAATGGTCAAATTAGTCATACGGCAAATATGATATGTCAAATCGACATTTAAATTGCACAATGGGCAGGCCTTAACCATCTATTGTCGTCATTGTCCTTATAAAGATAATGTAATAGCCATTCTTCCAATGATTTTATGGCAATACCTGAAAAGGTAGCAAAACTCCCATTAGAATTGATGATAGTATACAGAGTGTTACAATATTCAACTCACAAAATTGTACGGTGATTGGTTCTCTGTTCAAGTGGAGATAAGTCTGCACATACTTCGTTTTTTAGATATAAATTCATAAGTTTTAATATTATTTAGTTATATTCATTTATTTTGTACATTTACTGACAATGTTTTGTGCATTTGGTAGATGGATTGGTACTAATAGTGATATCCGCTGATCAGACTTAAAACCTTGTTATTACAGTTCTAAGTGCGTAAAAACTAGATTCCATAAAATAACTTTGCTTTAATTCTCATTTTGATGAAGAACCTTCCTAATACTTCTAAAAATTTTCAATTCATGACATTATGGAAAGCTTAGCAAATTTTTAAGGTACTTAGGTAAGGTACCTATTTCAATTAATTGTTTATTTAACCAAAATAATGCAACAATTGTTGTTTCAAAATCGAAATTCATACCAAATAATTTTAAATTCCTTACAAATTATACTAAAAATTAATTGTTAATTTGCAGACGTAGAGAATAAAGAAAACAAAATCACGTTCTACTTTATACTATTTTGATTTCACTTATTCTCGCTATTTATACTTCTAAATTAAACAAACCTGTATCATGAATAAATCTCTCTATTTTCGTTTGCATTCCCCAGTATCGGAACTCTACCCTACACAGCTTGTAAGCACACATAAGAGCTTTGCCGTTTGGTAATGGTTGAGGCTTTCCCCTCACTTCTTCCCAATATTCTTCCAACCAATTTACGTCCAATGGACCACGACCAGACTTTTCTGATCTATAATACATAGGATCCTCTTCCCTCACATAGTCTGTACCATACAATTGGTCTTTAACAACATCTATCACATCTATAATTACAAGAATGTTTTTGAAAATTCTTTTTATATTAAAACTAACACAATATTATGTAGTAAAAATATTTCAAGAAATAACCCCTTGGATTATATTAAGGAAAAAGCTTGTATCACCTATGTCCTAAATAGCTTTGCTTTTGAGATACAGGGTGTTAACATTTTTTAATAATATTTATTTAAATATAGTTGAAAATGTTTGATGTAGACTGATAAAACATGAGTGGCTTATTGAGGTAAATTGGTGTATTTAACTTCTAATTACACTTCAAATGAAAAAAAAATCCGTTTTACCATTTTATCCAGAAAATAAGCCATTCTTGAGTTATTTTAAAAATCTAAAATATTCCCCCTATTTCCTTCCCTTATTTTTAAATCTGGTATCAAAGTAGCTAAACTGTTTGAGTCATTAATTTGTGATTACGTTAAACCACTTGTTAATAATACCCTCATAGGCCAGCATTTCGGATTTGTAATCGGTAGGTCTACTGAACTCAATTGATTGCATTATATAAGTTTCCTGTCTGGAGCATTGGAGAGGAAGGAGCAAGTATATGCCATTTCTCCATTGACTTCTCCATGGGTTTTGACAAAAATTCAAGACAGATAACAGATAATTTGTATTAAAAAATTGGCTCTATTCTCATGAAATATTAGTGCCCCTAGGTGTACCACAACGTTCTCATCTAGGCGCATTTGTTTTTAACATATTTATTAATGTCATAAAACATTGTTTTAAGTTTTCTCAATTCCTTCTACTTGCTGCCGATTTAAAATTCTTCTTAATTAGTTCTATTTTTGATTGATTGTGAGACTATATACAGTCTGATCTTGTTGATTAGTGTACAAATAATGGGATATCCCTCAAAAATGCTTTTCAATAAATTTATCACATCGAGAAATAAAATGAATAATTCATATTCTACATGTGTAGAAAATTTAATTCTTTAGACGTATATTTCTTAAAAAGTTCAAAATTTCTATGCCAGTGATGACCTTTCGATGAAGACATTATATTTAAAATCTTATTTATAACCAAAGATTTCTGGAGCTTTCTTTTGTAAAAAGAATATTTTTACTGTCACTGTGATTTATTCAAAACTGTGTTAGTTTTGTTTTAAATTTAATAAATCGGAAATGGCTTGTTTTCTGGATAAAATGGAAGAGATCCTTTTTTTTAATACTATCAGAAATAGGTCACCTTCTGGATTAAATGGAAGAGATATATTTTATTTCGAATACCATTAAAGATCAAATGCCCTAAAAAGATTTGAAAAATATATTCTGAAGTTTTTAGTGACTGTCCCAATATTGCCACCATTAGTTAGCATAATTGTGTACGTATTGATGTTTACCTTTACTTATTTAAATCACTAGTTGAAGTTTCATCAGTTTTTATAAAACTTCTTCAGAGAATTTGCACATACGTTAAATTTTTCAAAAATTTCTTAATGATCTAAAGAATTAGTTTCTGGAATATGTTTATGTGTTTACATTATACCCGCTACAACAAAATTAATTAAAACTGGTGATCTTCAATGTAGAGGCATTAAATGGAAAAACGATTTATATTACATGTGGATGTGTATGTATGTGTGTGAAAAACTCACCTACTATTCGATTTCGTAAATCACTGCCAGACAATTTAAAAACATTTTCTTGATGGCCATTGTCTGCATAATAATATGTTTCGATTTCTAATGAAAATTTTTCAACAAAAGGACATGTATATCTGGTTTTTGTGTAAGGATAAGCATTCCACGCTTCTTCCTCGACCATCAGAGCAGTTTTTGGAAGAATTCCCTTTATCCATCCTAAAATATATCTAAAATAATACCTCCCTTGTAGTGAATACGGCAAATATTTATATTAATCCAAACATAATTTTTTAACTTTCATATATTATAGTTTACCAATATTTTAACAACCTGGTAAATGACTTCCTACGTGGTAAATTTTTCTAGTATATTGTCCTTGTCCGCCAGGCCCATCGATGTAGGGTTCATTTATTAGTATTTCAACCCCACTACCAGCTCCACTGCTTTCCTCCCGACTTTTTTTCTAAAACAAAATACATTTCAACACAATTTAAATTAAACCAGTTCTTATTTGCACAATGAGATTATTCTTCTTTTCTGACTAAACCCCGTAATTAAGTATTTCTTGAGTTCTCGAACAACTTTGTTAAATAGTTTTTAACGAAAAAAAATTAAAGGCATTTTGCTTAGGGAAAATTTCACATATTGAAATTTTTTAGACGCCCTGTATGTTTTATTACATGTTTGATTACTGCCTATGGCTCCCCAAGATAAGCAAAACTTTATCAAGAATAACTCTTTCTCGCAAAATCAACAATAAAAATGTTTACAAGAGTCCCCATCTGGGACACACTGTATAGCCTTTGAAACAACAAAGTTTTTTAATATTTGATCATGATCATTAGAAGGGCTTATAACCATTTCCAAAATCGTTTAAAATGAAATGGCGTACAAATCAAAGTTAATCCATTATTGATTGTCATTATAACACTTCAGAGGACCCATAGTACGAGTTCACTTACTAGATTTATGAATATTTGGTATTACTTATTATTTTAAAACAAAAATTTGAATCCACTGCACGTTAAATTATTTTTTAAGGTTTTAAAATCCCTTTAAAAATGTTAATATTTCATTTCTACCACTCATAATTTAAAACATATTATATTTCAATGTTTTATTTTATTGATTAACAAGATAAAACATTTACTTCAGCATCTGTAATGATTTTAAAATAATTGCCTTGTGATAATGTATTTCTTACCAATAAAACTATTTTTAGCATGTAAGAGGCTCTTATTTTAACTGAAATAGTTTTATGGTTAGGCCCACTCAAGTGTAGGTATTTACAGTCTTGAGGCCTTCATACATGCCCTAATCCTCCTTCCTCTAAAGAATTAAAATATATATACAGTGTGGTCACAATTTGTTTCCCAATATTTTCAGAGCCGATGCTACATATGAAAATAAGACTACAAGTTTTTTTCGGATTAGATAATAAGGGAGACATACCCCCTTTATCAAGCAATAATGCAATAATACAACTAAAATACTGATTTTATGGAAATTGTTCCAGATGTGTAGCATTTCAAAACAAAAGCGAACGATGTTGTTAACTAGAATAATAGTTACCCCTAACCCTAACGATACATTTCAGTTATTTGCAAATTTTGACATTTGCAGGATTATCTTTAATGGTAGGTACTTAATACTTATCTTGAATAAATGGAAAGCTTTATTTCACCCATTATACTAGCGAATACTCTAAAATTAAATTCTGAATTAAATACAATGGTACAGAAAATCAAACTACTTGAAACCAAACTTAAGGGTGTAAATATGTTACAATATACGGTTCGTCATTAAAAACAGAGTCGTAATAACCAAACTCCACCGTAAATGTAGTTAATGAGTAAGCATAAATAAAATAAATCAGTTTGTAGACGTTATTACAAATATTTGATGATAAGCAGTAATGTTTTTTTTAATTATTGACTTGGGCATTATAATGGTTTGTTGATATTTTTTTTATAAAAATGAATAAACAAAATTTAAAAAAACTCGAATCCTTGATAACATAAATATAAAGAAATCATTTCAAAACTTAATTGTGAATCGAAGATACTGTTTACTATTGTACTGGGTGTTTGTTTTAAAAAGATCGAGAAGCAGGACTACTATGATAAATCTGATGTCAAGTAACGGTATAGACATTAGTACCATATGCCTATAAACATTTTAGTTTTGTCAAAGTTCACTTACACACAAGAAAATTTTCAAAATTTTCCTACACTATGTAAGACCTTTTATTCACATCAATCGCGTCGGTTTGAGGTAACTATTAGATATACAGGACAAAAAGGTATGTTTAATTGTTGACATTACCCATAGTTTTGAGAGAAGTTAGGTATTTATTACTTTAAGGGCACTATTATGACATTTTAAGCATTAAATTGTCTGTTTTTGACAATAAGACAGGCCCCCTTGTCCTGTGTATCTAATGGTATAACATCCTGTATAATGAAATGGAGATTTCAATAAAAAAATAGCTGTAAATCAATTACTTTTTACTATTACAATAGTAACTAAATTAATGACATTAATTAAACACATCTAAGCACAAAGATAGGACCAAGACTATGGATTCAGCGCCTCGATACTCGCATACATTTGTGAATTCGATTTTGCTTGGTTTTTGTCTTGACACGTATAGTTTGATCAATTAAAGAACCAAGAGGTTGACAGTATGTACCAGGTTCGGTCGCTGACGCAGCAACTCGGCATTGAAATATTTGAAAAAGTTGTTCCCATATTTATTTAGCCATACCCACATACAGGTCTGGTCGGACTAAACGTGGAGATGGTAGAAACGAAAACGCCTAGTTGAAGAATGCGAGCGCGGGCAAACGAAATACAAACACAGCTGCATTGGGCCACTGGGCAATAAATATCTACTGTTGACAAGTGGTTGACAAATTGCCCAGCAGTGCAGTGCAGCAATGCAGAATTTGGTGTGATTCAGGTAATTTTAATTTATTAATCAAACAGTACTGTTAATTTGTTTTTTAAATTAAATATTGAATCAATCAAATTCAAGGCAATTCGAATTTCTCCAATCTGGTTTACTAATGTTGGTCTCCTCAAAATAATAAATATTTATACAGTTAAATTGATGTCATTGGCGCATCCGGCAGAATTTAGAAAAAAGAAAGTGTTTTATTAGTACAATTTATTTATCTTTTATCTGGAAAAAATCTGAAAAAATTCTCCTAGGGCACTTCGGTCCGCCTAAATTAATTGTAAATTGTTTTCAGCCAAGTTTTAGAAGAAAGGAAATATCTCGGAAAATATTGTTCCTCTTTTTTTATTTAAAGGCGGCACATCCGTTTATTTTAGACACAATTCCAGGACAAATTAAAATTCCTTGGTCCATCTTTAGCCAAAAAAAAGTTTCTAGATCATTCAAAATTTATGTTTCTTTTTTTTTGTCGTAGCATAAAAACTGCTCGTTCCAAATTCAATTCAGGGCCAAGCAACTTTGAAATAAATTAACAAGAGGTAGCTTTTATGAAAAACTGAATAGACTGTCAAAAACTGGACCAACATTCTTAAAAGATTCGTGGATAGAAAAATAAAAGTATATAAAAAGGCACGACTTGCCTCTCTGCACGGCACTGGAGCACAAAATTAACTGTTTGAAAAGATTAGAACTTAACCATCTTGTATAAAAGATTACTTTGTTCAGATTTTATCTTTTATCCAAAAAAAATGGTAAAATCAGATGTGGCATACTCGTATATAATGCATTTGAAAATCACAATTTACACATGTAATAAATTATTAGAATTTTACTACTTCGCGGGTTAATATTGTATTTATTTTTACTAGAAATTAATAAAACTGCTTGAAATTATCAAATATACTTAGAAAAAATTGACTGAATAGTTCAATAATCCAGAAAAGTGAAAAAATAAACAAGAAGCTTACGATAAAATGTAAATGTAAATGTCGGCTTGTTTAAATATTATTCAAAATTTAAAATTCTCTCTTCATCCGTTAGGTTTATTTTATAGAATTCACATTAAGAAAGTTCATTACCACCGCATTCTCGACCTTTGAGAAATTATGATACAAAACAAATAAATCAAATAATTGAACCTGTACTACATGTGTAGATTTATAAACGGATCGTTCTATTTTCAGGAACATAAAGTTTTTAATCTCAAGCTGCTGACTGTTATGCCTACAGCAATTCATCTTCTAGTTAATAATATTACATACACTTCTTGTCAACGATTAAGTGACTAGATAACGTCAATCAATCAAATAATTATTCAATCCGGCCGGAAAATACAAACATTGGTTACATAAGCTGGTTTATAAATATTATTCTCAATGATACAAGTAAAATTCTTAGCTTTACAGGGTGTTCCGTTTCGCGTGGGCGTTACGTAACTTTGTTATTTTAAACGGATCACCCTATTATTGCATTTTTGAATTCCTTGGTTAATATTAGGTAGAGTTTATTGAATATACATGGTATTTAAAACTTACCGTTTTCTAGATAGTCAGTTGTTTTTGGAAAAAAAATCACGACTTCAGCTCTCTAAATGAGGCTAGATAGCATTTAAACCGTAAGAGTTAGTAACCTGCAGTTTTCACAGTTCGTTTTGGCATAAATTTCTCGATCTTGTCATCTGTGAGCAAAATGTGTACCTTATTCAGACTCGGAAATACTGAGACCTACGTTTAATAATCTTATAAGTTGGAAAACTTTTTTTTTCAGATGGAATGACCCATATTGATTGTAATGGGTAAATGCAAAATTGAATGCCCTTTCGACTGGTATAAGGTTGTCCATACTTATCTTTAACAGTTTTCCAGAAAAATCAGGTTCTTTTCTAAAGTCCAAAAAGTAGCTATGTAACAGCGTCAAGAAGGCCTTGCAAAACCACTTTTCTCTCACATTTTATCAGGCCTGGGACTGACAGTGTCAATGTTTACTGGCATGTTCAAAAAGTGGTTTGACAAACAAAAATAAACCACTACCACTAACAACTAAAACAAAACGCAAAACGAAACAATATACTCGGAACACAACAAGGAGAAGAATACTTAGATCGCTGATTTACATCAATTGCTCGAAGTGTCGTCCATTTTGATTAATACACAAACGAATTCGGTTTTTAAAAGACTGTTCAACATTGGTAAGCATGTCTGGCGTAATTTCTTGAAATGCTACTGTAATGCGCTGCCACATATCTTCCGCGGTAGTTGGTGGTGTAACGTAAACTTTGCTTTTTATAAATCCCCATAAAAGGAAGTCGCAACTTGTCATATCTGGACACCTTGAAAGCCAACTCACTGGTCCCCCGCGCCCAATCCATTTATTGGGAAAAGTTTCGTGTAAAAACTGACCAACTGCAGTATTGTGAGGTGGAGCACCACCATTCTTCGAAGTTTGTTAAAAAATTTAAATAAAGTGCTCCAGTTAGATGCTGGTCAAAAAAGAATGGTCCAATGACATGGGTTTCCAAAATTGCTCTCCACACGTTCAAAGACCATCGTTGGCTATGAGTTGTCCGGAATTGGTGAGGATTTACTGTGTCGTAATAATGGCAATTATGACTATTAACGAAAGCATTTTTATGAAAAGTAGCCTCATCGGAGAACATGATCCGTTTAAAAAAATTATCATCTTGATTTAACATCTCAAGTGCCCACTGACAAAACTTCAGTCTCCGCTGAAAGTCTACTTTTAGTAACTCTTGGTGTAATTGGATGCGATAAGTATGTGCTGTGCTGAGTTTTGTGAAGTCCTGTGTATCGACGTTGTACTAATACAATTGCAAGGCCTTCTTGACGCTGTTACATAGCTACTTTTTCGGACTTTAAAAAAGAACCTGATTTTTCTGGAAAACTGTTAGAGATAAGTATGGACAACCTTATATCAGTCGAAAGGGCATTCAATTTTGCATTCACCCACGACAAATAATATGGGTCTTTCCATTTGAAAAAAAAAAGTTTTTCACCTCTCAGTATTTCCGAATCTGAATGACGTACACGTTTTGCTCACAGATGTAAAGATAGAGTAATTTATGCCAAAACGAACTGTGAAAACTGCAGGTTTCTAACTCTCACGGTTTAGACGCTATCCAGCCTCGTTTAGAGAGCTGAAATCGTGATTTTTTTTAAAAACAACTACATCTAATAAACTCTAACCAAGAAATTCAAAAACGCAATAATATACAGGGCGTTCCGTTTAAAATAACAAACAACGCGTGGGCGCTACATAACAAAGTTATGTAGCGCCCACGCGAAATGATGCATCCTATAAAGCTAAAATATTTTCTTTACATGGCCCACATGATTCCAGACAACTTTTATTAAAATCATTTTTTTATCAATTTTACAGTTACAGAGTTACAGAAGAATCCCTCTGAGGTGGAACACCCTGTATATTTTATTAAATTTTATCTTTCATCTTTAAAACAAAATTTTGATAAAAAAAACTGTTATTGGCGACATGTGCAGAGGCATGTATTTATAATAAAAAGGTTGTCTATTTCTACACTGTATGATATTAATCCTATTAAGTTCAGTAATTTGAAATGTTGCGCGCCCACTAAAATTCTCTGGAAAACTATATCGTGACTAGTTTACTTTAACGTTGACATTTAAGTAAATGTAATGTTCTCCTGCTAAATTAAAAACTATGTAAGAAACATTATTAGTACGGTTACACAATAAAAAAGATTTGAAAAGCGAATGTGCACACGAAAAACTTTTAATATGCAATAAAATGCCAAAAACGTAAAATTTTTTCTGTCAAATATATAACTGAAATAATTCAAAAATTGTTTTTGGTCATTAAGTAAATGGGTAAGGAATGAAAATAGTTTAACAATTTATACGAGGGTTGTTTTTATACTTCGGGAATGGACGATACGGGTGCTGTTTGTTTGTTCTCTATTCCCGAAATATAAAAGGTACAGAATAGGTACCAATTCCCTGGGTTTTCTATAGTAAAATGAAATAAATGTATACTAGGAAATGAAAATTCCAATAATGTACAGGGCACTATTTAAATTCAGATTACATTTGAGGAGACTTTGATTTGGACGGGACTTCACCCTTACAAGATATTTTTTAGCATTACAACTTAACTGCTATTTTTTTTAAATGTATTTTCTTTATCCTGAAAATAATTGCAGCTGATTATAGTTTTTTCGTCAGCTATAAATTTAGATGCACTCCCAATCCCATTTTTTCGAATTTTCAATGATTAAGATTTTTTCATCAACTATTGCTTAAGCTTTTTTGTTCTCAATTTCCTGATTTTTGTAGAAACTTGCAACACCACGCAGTAAATAAAATACTATGTAAAAAATCGAAAAATATCCAAACTAATAAATCAAGTTTCGGTTACTGATACTCATAATGTTATCCGACGATTTATGGCATGATTAATATAGAGCTAATATTATATCGCCTTGATTTATAACTAATTGTATTTATACAAACATATAGGTATCCAGAAAAAATCTAGTTCAGTAAAAATTATTATATTCTGTATATACAGCATACAGCCCATCTAGCTAAACATAGTAAAAAAGTTTGAACTAATAAACACTTCTAGACAATTTCGTGATAAGTGTACTGGAACAATGATATAAATAGAAAAAAATAAAGTACTTAACGTATCTAGGTAATATCGATTTCCCGTTTCATATATTTAAACCTGTAGAACTAAATGCCGCAGTCTGCTGTCATCGGGACTTTTAATTAAACTGAGCGAAATTAGAGACATGGTTTTTGCGAAGAGAATTTTTAAAAGTATCTAACGTGACATTTAACGAGCTCACATAAAGGACAGATAAACCCAAACAAACTGGTATTTTTCCTCATAAATCACAATAAAATCAAAACAAATTTTTAAAAACAGATAATTCATGAGAATTTAAGTTTTTTTTATAAACTTCAAGCTTTCTTTTATTTCTTCAACTTGAAAATTCTTTTGGCGCTCCAAGTTTGTTCATTAAAAACTAAAGGATAAAAGCAAAATAATGTTTTTCAAAACTATATCGTTATGTAGGTACAGTTTTATGAGAGGTTTGCTACAATGAATTAAGAATATTTCTAATTTCAAATAAAAAGTGAAAAGAAAATGAAAGGTTCTGTTTTTCGAAGCATTTTTTAGAACGACTGTATGAAGTCAATTAGTATGAAACCATCTTAATGAAAAACGAAAATGTACTTACTGCTATCATGTAGAGCTGAGCAATTCTGTATTCCTCCACCGTGAGTGGTAGAGGAATACGATATTCCTTGATGAGCATGGCTGACGAGGACGTACGTCTTACCCTAGGTAATTAAGTACCAACTCCAAAGCCTCCACATATTTGTCGCTGAAAGAAAAAATACTGACGGTTAAGAGATAATCAAAAATAGCTTTAAAAATACAGAATGGAAGGCCTTTCTTATGAAAAAGTGATTTCAGTTAAATTGACTGAAATTGTTATATGTTATAGCTCTTAACCTGCCAATCAAAAGTTTTCATTGCCGCAATATCCAAAAGTTCATAGTTCTCGAGTTATGTTGACTTCAGAACAGTAACTCTGTATTCGAAATTGCGAGTAGTTCTTTTGACTGCAGATTTCCGTTACAACTATTCTAGTTGATAGCAAAAAATCTATTGGATTTCTATAAATTATAATAAAAAATGTATCTGTCAGATATTAATGCAGGCAATGACCAAATCAAGATTCAGGGCTAAACTCAACCATATTCACACGTACAAGTAATTTTTGAGTCACTTTAAAAAAGCCACCCTTGGGCGGATTTTGCAACCTCCCCGTGGTACATTTTGGGTAATGCAAATGCAAACGGCAAAAAATATTAAATAACAATTTTAGGTACCCCTTCGAATACAGAGTTATGTCAACATAACTCGAAAACTTTTGGATATTGCGCCAGTGGAGACTTTTGATCGGCAGGTTAACAGCTGTAACATATAAAAATTTCAGCCAATTTAACTGAAACTACTTTTTCATAAGAAAAGTGCGGGGTCCTTTAAGAAAACAGTTTTTTCTATAACAAATGCTAAAGTGTAGTTTATACAACTCAAATCAACAGAACAAATGCCGTTTTAATCGCAATGGTAGATAAATTCCTTTAATTTTTATATTGTTATTTATTCATATACAAATTATTTTCAATTTTCATTTTCATTAGAATTAATATGAACTTTAATCGTACAATTAACATTTCTACAAAATATTCTTACAAAAGTACAGAAATAAAACACCAAGAATTTCTCATTACATCACTAAGTATTTTCTTCAATACTTCAACCTTTCTCGCTACTAAGTCTTCTAGCCCAGTCATTATAGACATGAAAGAGCCTGTTTCGGGAAACAAATACTATTAGAAGTTTCTCTGCGGAATATTGTTCGGAAACCTGTTATAAATAAAATATCAAAAAATCAACTCGAGGCTAGTTGGGAAACTTTGTTTTAACAGTGGTCAAAGTTATGGAAAAGTGGTTTTTTGACTCACGTAAAAAAGCTATTATTCATAGCGAAAAAAAGTTTATACAAAAAAGGTAGGTATTAAATAAGCCTATAAAATGAAAAAAGTCCGATTAAATTCCGATAATTTGTTTATGCACAAGAGCTCAAAAATGGTCGAAAATTGCCGTTTTTTTCAATTGCTAATAATTAATGCAATTTTCATCGCAGACACTTGTAATTCAGGATTTTTGAGGCTTTTTACACCCTTAATAAGTGGTAAAAATTTCAGCTCGAAAGCTTCATTGGTTTGACGTTGGCGGAATTTGTTATCTAAGAAGATGCTATTTTTCAATTCATTTTTCCCAAGCTCACAGGCGTTGTAGGGTTTTGATCATTAGTTGTTTTTGTACCTAAATAGTTGTATTGACATAGACATTTACCGAGAATTTAGTTTTTCAAATTTAATTTGTTTAAAATTGACTTTGAAAAAATGTTAATATTTATTAAATTGTTAAGATAGGTAATTATTATAAAATAAAATAGTAACCTCTTTACTTTAGTTTTCTTCGAATTTAAAAAAAAATCGTTGTTGTAAGTTGATTAGAAGCTGAGATAATTTTTTTTATTTATTTAATCGCAGTGACCTTAATTATTAATATTAAGAGCCGAAATTTGGAGAGAATATACATTAAGAGCTATATTTTCATGTCCTACATTAACATTAAGGTGAATTCAACTATTTAATTTCGAAAAAGAAGATAGCGGCGATGCGTTCTATTACTTGGTCTAGCGAACGAGTGGGGAAGGCGAGGCTTAGCATGCGCGCTTAACGATGTAATAAATATTAACATTTTTTCAGTCATTTTTAAACAAATTAAATTTGAAAAATTAAATTATCAGTAAATGCATATGTCAATACAACTATTTAGGTACAAAAACAACTAATGATCGAAACCCTACAACGCCTGTGAGCTTGGGAAAAATGAATTGAAAATAGCATCTTCTTAGATAACAAATTCCGCCAACGCCAAGCTAATGAAGTTTTTGGGCTGAAATTTTTACCACTTATTAAGGGTGCAAAAAGCCTCAAAAATCCTGAATTACAAGTGTCTGCGATGAAAATTGCATTAATTATTAGCAATTGAAAAAAGCGGACAATTTCGACCATTTTTGAGCTCTTGCGCATAAACAAATTATCGGAATTTAATCGGACTTGTCTTATTTTACAGATTTATTTAATACCTACCTTTTTTGTATAAACCTTTTTTCTCTATGAATAACAGTTTTTTTACGCGAGTCAAAAAACCACTTTTCCATAATTTTGACCATTGTTTTAACAAAGTTTCCCAACTAGTCTCGAGTTGATTTTTTAATATTTTGTTTATAACACGTTTCTGAACAATATTCCGCAGAGAAACTTCTAATAGTATTTTTTTCCCGAGAAAAAAGCTATAATGATTGGCCTATTCTGTACAGTGTAGAATATCCAAATGGGATAAATTCAGTATCTCAATCATTATTGAGCATATTTATAAAAAATTTCATCCCTAAATTCAACCCCTAAATTTTTAAATGGGAAGAAAGGGGCTTGTGATACCTCATTTAAAAGGTATTTTCATTCTCTATTCAAAAATGCTATGGTTTTCATATTTATTACAAAAATTAACAGTAAAAAAATTAATTCATCTGCTTGACAAAATTCGCTACAGCAAACTAAAAAAAAACTTAATTTCAAAGTAGGACATATTCAAAATAAGTTCCTTTCCATTCAAATTGTCATCAATGAAAAATGGACCAATGACAGTCTCCAATTATCCCCGTCCAAACATTAACCTTTTCAGGATTTTGCAGATGTAGTTTTCTCGGCCAGTGAGGATTTTTATTGGACCAGTAGCTACAGTTTTGACGACGTTTTGCTAATCGTACCTTGGGATGTAGGCGGCAAATTAAGAAATTTTTCTTGAAATAGACGAGCAACTTCGGCCTGTGATCCCAATCTCTGTAAGCAACCGTCCGTATAATTCTTATTTTATGCATTTCTATTAAATAAACCAAGTTTAAGAATTGCAGTTAGCAAAACTCAAACAATACGCAAAACACTGACAACTATTTATTGCTGTCAATTAAACAGCAGGGGGCTACATTTTCAATAAATTTTCTGTTGAATGGTGTATCAAATAAATAAATAAAACTGGCAATGCCAGCTATCAAGAATTTTGATAAGTTTTAGTCTTCTTTTTAATTGATAATGTTTAAAAAGAACACTGAAATTGTCTTTGCTAGCCTGCAAGAATAAAACGCTGCGAGTTTGTATGTTTTTGTTTGTTGTAACGAGTTTCATCAAGCAGACCGTTAATTTTTGCAATATAAAAGCATTTTTGAATAGAGAATGGAAACACCTTTCAAATGAGGTATTACAAGCCCCTACTTTCCATTTAAAATTTAGGGGTTGTAATTGCCACTCAAAGGGGGTTGGATTTAAGGATGAAACTTTTATGTTGCAGGATGTCATTTCAGAATCCAAAATCGACGTGTCTCGTGATTTTTTTTATAAATATGCACAATAATTGAGATACTGAATTTATTAAATTTGGCTGTTTCAAACTAAGTTTCGGCCACTAAAGATGACTTCCATTTCCCTATACGCTTGACTGCTATCAGAAATGCATCAGAATTTGCCCACATCATGGCTCATAGCGACAGAAATAATGGTCGATAGTTGATGCAGGACTTCTGATTAGGCAAGTTTTTAGGGCACAAATCAACGTATTTTTTGACAATACCCAAAGAATTCACAGCATATTTATCCTCGCTCAGTTTTGGTGTCAAATAGTGAGACCGTTAGAAGCATTAGAAGTTTCTAACTTGTATAATTCATTCGACCGGCATGCCCCAAAGAAACCCATTATTACAACAACCTGTACCTAATGTGAAATATAAATTACTAAAATTATTGATGTAACTGTTATAAAATGTTCACCTTCGTATAAACAGATAGTTAGTCGTCGTCTGAAGAATCTCCTAAAAGTCTCACGTCAATATCAGGTTCCAAAACTCGAGATTTTTTAGTTTTGCACCGATCAGTTAATTTCTTTAGCAATATAATCAGTTTGCTATAGGTATCTTGAAAACATTACTAAACGTTATTTGATGGAATGGACTCATGAAACATATTACGGAAATGTCACAATTTTCATTAACCAGCAACGTTGACTTTAGCATCGAGAAACATAATGTTGACGGTTTTACCTTCTTTGACTTTTCTAAAAAGTATGACAAAAGTACCTTTTTGTAATGTTGATGATTTTATCTTTGACTTTTCCAAAAGGTATGTCAGAAGTACCTATTCTTTGCGCCTTTCTTCTTTTGAAAAAATGTATATCTTTTTTTGTTTATTAACCGGAATATTTGGAGCAATATTTTCCCCACGACTTCTAACGCATCTTTTACCACTTCTGAAGAAAGTTTTCTTCTTCAAATCCTTCAAAGCGGTCTAATATTAAATCGCGAAATTTTGTATTACTATTTATATGCTTAATAATCGGCATAATATACAAATCAAAATTTGCTACAGAGACGTAAGAATATGCGGGACCATGGGGCAAATTTTACAATTTTTTTTTGTACGCAATTTTTTCTACTTCCTGAACCGAAATTATGAAAATTTATCATATTCTGCATAAAAAAGGTACTCTTGTTTCTAGTAAAATACATTTTTCCACGGTCGGGAGTAGAAATCAGTTTCTATGACATCAAAATTAAAACAGAAGTAGTCGATTATTCCCAAGGGAGTATAATGCTCCCAAGGGAGTTTACATTATGGAGAACGTTTTTCATGCAAAAAAAAAGATAACATTGAAATTATTTATTGACATTTAAATTAAATGTTACATTTG